GGGCGCGTGTCTCAAATAATTTTCTATTAGGCTGCATTAGAGAAATATAAGATGCTAATAACTGTTAACAGTGCAAGATGGGGGGCAGAGGGCTCTCTCCCTAGCAATGGTATTCTCAGGGAGGAGTCTTCCTCAGCACCTTCTTTCCACTGGGGCCTAACCCAGGAACAGAATCGAGCTACAATAACCCTACATCTTTGCTGAAGCATCAGGAGAGACTCTACCCTGGTGGGCAAGGAGAAGGAAACTGGACACGTATCTAAAACTTCCCTTAGCTTCCAGGCACACGAACATGTGGCAGTTGAATGTTATAATTTTGAATCGACGAATGAATTACTCTCCTAGGACAAAATAAAAACTGAGTACAGCCAAAGACCTGCTTTAAAGAACTTGCTGGTGCCACAGAGTTACCTGCCCCATTACCTATGAACCTTGCAGCTCTCGGTGACTCCTGTGTCTGTTTCTAGCCTTAGCCTCGGCCCCTCCTAGGGCTACATAGCGAGACATTCTGTTAGGCGTTCTTCCCCTCTAACCTGCTACTGAGCTGTGGTGGTGGTAACAAGTAAACATACCAATCACCACTTGAGTTTCTGTGGATGAGTGGTTCAGGGTCACCAATCAAATACTTAGGTAAGAGCATCCTTTTTACCAAGGGTGACACATAACAGTTCGAAGTCTTGTATTTCATAGAAAACCACTTACCTTCCTTACATCTTTTACTCAAACCTAAGGCAGCTGAAATTAAAAAATCACATAGATACACACATTCATGCTCTGCAATCTCAGAATTCTCAAATGATGAAAATATAGCAATATGAATAAACATTAAATACAGACAAATGAACAAAATGTAATTCTCACTGGTTCTATAGAGTAACAACTAATGAATGAAGTTCTATTGCATTTTCTGCCAGGCTGGCTTATGGAAAAATGTTCCCAGCTTTATGTTACAGGGTTACTAAGATAAAAAGGACTTTAAACCCACAATGATTGCTAAGGTGAGAAGAGCAGGGAGAATAAGCGTGCTAGAAGGGGGTTTTGGAGAGTGGCCAGTGAAATCCCAGGAGGAGGGGGGTGTCTCTGAAGGCTCTTGGGACTCAACAGCAGCACCAAGAGCTCCCAGAGGAGCCGCAGGTGCTGATACCCCGCAGCGCCACCCAATGGCCAGCATCTGGGTTTGACATTCCGTACCAGAAGGGGCTTCAGTTTCTGCCTGCCAGCTTTGTGCTTTGACCTTGGAGAAAAGTCACTGCAGGTTACAAGAAAGAAGACAGGCTCTGGGCTGCAAGTGCTAAAGGCACACAGCAAGCCATCCAGAGACCCGTTACCCCTCCAGCCCGGGATTCTGGGTGGCTAGAGGTGGGTCTCAGCGGCTGGACCTGGATAGAGAACGAATCTGCTTGGTCCTCATGAGGAGCCGACCCTCGACTTCGGCTGCGTTACCAGCCACTCAAAAATTAAAAGTGCAAATTGACAATCTCAGAGTTTGGGAGGTGGGGGTGGTGCTCAGTACATGGATCTTTATTTTTCCGAGTAAAGGCTGAGACTGTTTTGGCTTTAAAAATGAATCTCCTTGAATATGTAGGTAGCATAAATAAATACATGGTCCCAAGTGTCACCGAGTAACCCATGCTTATGAAGCAAATGAGAAGTGGGGGTCTGTGCAAAAGGAGACGCTGCTCATCCAAGGGTAAGGAGCAAGGTCACCCTGATGTCTGCCCCCAGAGGGCCGGACCAGACCCAAAGGGCCTATCTGTCCCATGAGGCCCAATTTCCTCACTGGGCCTGCGACAACTAGGGCAGATCTTCATGTGTACAACCAGGGCAAGACAAGACCTCATCTTGCCAGCTCAGAACACTCTGGAAGTAGGGAGGAAGTCCCACAGTCAGAAGGTCAGGAGTGGAGGAAGCAAGAACACAGACCCAGGGACTCAGCCTCTGACTATAGGCCCCATCAGGGTTTTTTGGCCTTTTCATTTTACATTCTCTATAGTCCACAAGCTTCCTTTGAAGATTCGCTGGGGCTTAAGCTACAACATGTTCTAACAGTTGGCAATATTGATAGGGGCCCAGTGCAGAGTTGGCTATTGTGCCCGAGGCCAGCATGAGTGCCACCGACTCGTCCCTGCCAGCAGGTACCCAAGCCCTTATCTCTAGGCCCCAGATAAGACCAGACAGATTCCATTGCTAACTAACTAGAATTTAAATAAAAATTTGAAGGGAAAAAAAAAAAAAGGTTGGTCGCTAACTGAATTCTCCCTGCTTTGAAAAATATTGGCCTGCAAACCCAGGATGAGGGATGTTCCAAAACAGTTCTCTCCCATCCTACCTACTCTTAGACAAAAATCCCAAAAGCCAACTACTTTACCCTCCCCAGAATCCCATCCACCAAACTAAGGAGAACCTGGCAATCCAGCAGAGGCCCTGGAATGGACCACAGACCGCTGCAGGAAGAGCAAAGGTTCGATCTAGGGTGGAATGCCTTGCTAGAAACATCCTCACCAGCCTCAGCAAAAGGACACCTGGGGGGGGGGGGGGGTGCCCTTTCTTTGGGGCCAGTTTTAGCAGTGGGCCATCTACAAGTCTCTGTAGGTCTGAGTTCCTTTGTGGTCCGTGAACGGAAGTGGGGAGACCATGGGGCCACCAGACCAACACCAGGACCTGCTAGCCACCCTCGAGAGGGAACAGAGAGCAGTGACCTCAGGAAGCAGGCAGCCCCCCCAGCTCTTGCCAACTGCCTTTGTATTTTGTAGATGAGAAGGCTGCACTCATGTCCCAACTCAAGAATTATTAGGGATGCTTTAAAGAAAACTGTTTTCCCCAACAGTTATAAAAGCCAGTGAATTATCTTCCTGAAACCAAGAACTCAATCGGCTAACACTCTTTCCCTTCGTCAGAGTCATAGGGAACCAATATGTTTGCTGCATTAAGACTCTGGGATCCTGTTTTCCAAAACTGAAATATACCAAAATGCCATGTGGTTGATTTGCAGTTTTAGAGCTGTATTTTAAAACTACAATCAGAGTGGAAATGAAGATTTTGAAGGTCATGGTGAAAATGAAATGAATGTAAATGAAGTCACTTGGGTGCTTTTTAAAGATGCTGTATTTCATTTAAATGTTCAGATAAGGAAATTGTCCCAAATCTGCTTTCCCATTTGTTCATCACTTCAGTGATCTAGATGCACTGGGGCCCATTTCACATCCAGAAACAGAGCATCTTTAAAGTTAGAGAAATTAGTATAGCTTACTTTACCGAAAATTCACGTTCAAAATGGTGCATGCTCTACTGAAAACAGCAAAGAGAGAGAAAGAGAAAGAGAGGGGACATAAGTCATTATTCGATTTTAGTGTCATTTAATCAAATAGTAAAAGAGAGCAAAATATTAGTCTGAATCACCTGCTGATTATTCTCACTGCCAAACTAGGATCTACTTCACCGCAAAATGCATTGGTTTCTAAACACAACTGTGACCCTTTTAGAACAGGGCAAATATGCTAATACAGTAATCAGAGAGTCAATATGCTAATAGAGTTGCCAGAGAGTCACTTTCCTCTTCATACTTTTTTCTATCCCTCCCCCCTGCCACTTGGGTAGGATTTTTATTTGTTTACAAGCACAATACTCACTTCAGAAGACCAGTGAAGGTTTTAGTTCTCCCCCAGCCCCCGAAAAGTGGAATGGGTACAGGAAGTGTAATTAGTTCTATTGCTAAATAAGGACAGTTTATCAAGAAGGGAGAAAAATTAGAACCCATCACTTTTCTCAATCGAGTCTTCTATAATGTACAATGGAGACGGGTCTTTTTAAAGCTGGGAAGAGCAAGAGCACAGGGTAAGTCTAAGGTGAAACAGCGGCACGTGGCCCCTCCCTGAAGGCCACTGGGATCTACAGGCTGAATTTCCCCAGTGAGTGACATTTGCTTACTTGTGACTATAAAACCATTAAAAAGAAAACAAGCAAGGCAAACCTTGTTCTTGTCTTCCTTTTAACTGACTAGATTCCAGGTTAAATGTGAAGGATAATGCTTTCCCTGACAGTGAATCCCAGAGCTCCTGATGAACGAAGAGAATCACTTCATCTGGGGAGGGGCTGAGAAATGAGGCCCACAAGGTGCTGGGCGGGCTGACCACTCACAAGGGGCAGATCTGGAAGGATGCTGAGGACACTGCCCTGAGCCACCTCCCACACCAGCCTTACCCCCTTGGGCTTGGATGTGGGGAAGGAGGGCTGAAAGAGGGCAGGAGAGCAGAGCCAAAATACTCTTCAGAGAAGCACTGAAGGCAGACCTGTTTGTCCCAAAGATGGCAACTGGTTTGTGTGTGTGTAGGTTTCAAGAAAAAGAGGCAATTCTTATGGCCAGAGACACGGATTTTGAGCCAAGAATGGGTTTCAGACTTTCACCCGGCCAGACACATTCTGGAAACTCCCAACATTCTAAATAAATCTCTCTCTTTTTTGTGCCTTATTTATTCTTAACCATCCTTCCTATTATTCAAGCTTTCGGTCACTCTGTGCCCATAAGGCTGTTTTCCCTCCTCCATCTCTCTAGATCTGAAACGTTCCTCTCTCTCCACTCATCCTTACACACTGAGTTTTCTTATAACTTTTTTTTTTTTTAGATTTTATTTATTCATTTGAGACACAGAGATAGAGAGAGAGAGCATGAGCAGGGGGAGAGGCAGAGGGAGAGGGAGAAGCAGGATCCCTGCTGAGAGCCAGGAGCCCGATGCGGGACTCGATCCCAGGACCCCGGGATCATGACCTGAGCCAAAGGCAGATGCTCAACCATCTGAGCCACCCAGGTGCCCCTACACACTTGAGTTTTCTATAAATTGCCAGCTCGCTCTCTCCAAAATGACTGCTTTAAATTATAAGCTGCGAGCCAAAGGGCTAGAATTCTCTTGCAGGGCATTCATAGCTTATACTTAATAGCACGTTACTGCTTATAAAGCTTTGTGATGACCTAATAAAGACCAGAAATTCTTTTAGAAGACAGCTTCAAAGGATGGAAATTACTTGTCCAAGGTCTTAGCTGCAAAGTGGCAGGGCTAGGACCCACGCCCAGGGTGTTCCAACTCTACTTTCAGGGTTCTTTTCAGGCCACTGACCAATACTTAACAGCACACACCCTGCAGTGTACCCAAGAGAACGGGCACTCGATCAAAACCGGCGGGGTAAATGGGCAAGGTCAGAACCAAGTTCGGATCCTGGCTCTAGCGTCCCCCACTTGTGTGACCTTGGTCAAAGTCCTTTAACCGTTTCTTTGCCTTTAAAATGGAGCTTTAGTAGAAACTACTCTCATTGAATAGGAAGGAATTCGTGAGGATTAAATCAAATAACGCCTATAAATCAAATAGAACAGTGCCTCGCACAAAGTAAGTGCCTAAAATATGTTATCTAATTATTAAGAACAATAATAATTTAGGGTCTCCTCTTACTTAGCTTTCCCAAAACACTCTTTTGCAAACCTGTTTTAAAAAGAAACCACACACAGGCGCCTGGGTGGCTCAGTCGTTAAGCATCTGCCTTCGGCTCAGGTCATGATCCCGGGGTCCTGGGATCGAGCCCCGCATCGGGCTCCCTGCTTCATGGGAAGCCTGCTTCTCCCTCTCTCCCTGCTTGTGTTCCCTCTCTCGCTGTCTTTCTCTCTGTGTCAAATAAATAAATAAAATCTTTAAAAAAAAAAAGAAACCACACACACACAATAATTGCAAGACAACAGGCCTGTCTGCTCTGAAAGAGAGAGTGGAAGGGCGTACTTGTGGGACCTTCTAAACCACTCAGTTCTAGGAATACAAATGTAAACATGAGCTAGTGATATTTACCATGAAATAAGTCAGGATAAATAATTTTAAAGCTCTTGAAAGAGTGACCTTCCAGAAGTAGGAAGCATAACCTTTAACAGAAAAGAAAGGAATGTTCTCACTGAAAATAGAAGGATTGCAGCAAAAGTTTTAGAGAATCCCACCCCTCCCAAAGGAATCACCAGCGGACTTAGGGAAATGATATTTCCCCCAACTATCTGGTAAGGACTTCAAGAAGAGGTGCCATGGCACGAGGTGCAGTAAGAAATGGGAGAGACCCCAGCCCTCACCCAATTGCTGGAAAGAGCTCCTGAGAGTGAGACCCCTTCCCTTAGAAACATCTGTTACTTCTCCCATACTGAGAGTCACGGAGCCTAAGACCACTGTCAGCTATCACGAATGTGGTTAAAGCTGATGCTTTCAGGAAGGAAGACAATGCGGTCCAACTGAACTTGCCTAAGTTGATCTGTTGCTGAGCAAACAGGGTCCCCAGTGGATTTACAGTATGCTTGATTAGAAGAGACTGTGAGATGGTCTCCCCTTGATTCTGACCTTTTTGCCTTTGACAGAGGAGGTAGCCAATCCCCGGACACGTCAACTGACTCATCCAAGGTCTCCCAGTAAGGAACAGTGTAGCAAGGGCTTACTGTACGCCAGGTGCTGTTCTAACCCCATACACATGGAATGTGCTGGATCCTCTAATAACGCCCGTAGGCAGGCACTGTTATCATCCTCACTGACAAAGGGGAAACCGGAAGCAACAGGGAGGCCAATAGCCTTGTCCAAGGTCCCAGAACTAGCAAGTGTTCGTCCTCGAGTTTAGGTTCCCCGGCCCAAGGTGTAGTTCCCAAGAGCTCCCAGATTGAGTTGTGTTTGAGATGCTACCTTGAGCAGGAATTGTTTTTTGAATCCTAGTCCTTAAAAGTGAAGACTTTTCCTTCCTTTCTTGAGAAAACTGCTTTCATCATGAAGCTGTAAGACACTATTCTTGACTTGATTCCCAGATAAGCACACCTCTTTTTTTTTTAATTATAAACTTGGCCTAGAAATAAAGACATAAATTGGAGTAAATGTGATTCCAGCAACAAGATGGGCAGCGTGCAGTGAAGCAGCGAGAAAGATGAGCCCATTGAGAAGCCTGGCCTCCTGTCCTGGAAGGAGGGACCAGTCTAAGCAGGGGCCGACCAGCCAGAAGATGCCACCCCTAGGCTGGGAGTCTGCTCTCACCCAGCAGAGGCCTTGAAGGCATAGCAAGCCCAAGCAAACCTGCAACAAGGATTTACCGAGCAGCAACCACGGCCACAGTAGCATGAAGCTGCTACCTCTTTGTGGCTCCCTCATGCCTTGCACAGAACCGAAGCTGGGGGACTAGTTTTTCAGGTGGAGATTCTCTACTGAAAGAGGGGAAATAGTGGGAGGAAAAAAAAAATTACCACGGTTGGACCCCAAGGAAAGCATTTGCTTAATTATATCTACCATTTTGGAGCTCTTGAGAGGCACTGGCAATGTGACTCCACACGAGCTAGGGCCCTGTCTGTCTGTTCATCCCCGTAGTCCAGGACCAACCACAGTGCCCAGCACATTACAGGCTCTCACTAAACGCATCCTGAATAACCGAATGACCGTTTAGGGCCCGAAATGCTGGGTCGACAGGCAAATGCTAGATATCATTTTTAAGAGATGCATTACAGTAAGTGCCCAGCAGAGGTCAGAGTAGAGTCTTCAGGGCTGAGACACCACTTTCATCAACAAATAGAGGAGATAAAGGAAAGGCGCTAATATTTGCTGCCAGGCTTTGTGCTTGGGGCTTCACATATGTTTTCCCTCTCAACTCCCTTTCAGAATAGGTACAATCAAATTCACAGTAACACCCCCTTCCGCTCCCACCCACCTCAACGTTTTTCCAACGTTGCCTCTAATTAACAAAATATTCCCCTTTTTCTTCTCTCATTCTAAAAATTTTCTCATCTCATGCAAACCTGCTATAGTAGAGATAGCTCCCATTCAAAACACAGGTAAATCACGAAAAAATCCAAATAGATTGAGAGAATTCCCCAAGGCATTTAAAAATGAGAACTGGCAGTTAACTTCCCAGGACCACATCTAACGCACACAGTAGGTGCTCTGTATGACTAAAGACACACCTCGTGTATTAAAGAAGGGTTTATGGATTCTCACTATTCATTCTCTCAATTTCCTTCAAATGTCTAAGTGGTGTGAAATTAATATCCTTTCTTCCAGAAAATGGCTGAAACATGATCTGGGCAGTGGAGTTCCAGAAATTTCTGACCAGCCTATAAACAAGTCACCCCTGCACAAGAGAGAGAAGACTATATTCTCTCTTGAACAATATTTGAGGGCTTTCTTGTAAAAGCTGCTCACAAAGTCAGGCAGGGAAAAGAATATCATTCCCATGAACCAGGTACTTTGTTTCTCAAAACGGGTCCTGGCCCAGAACACTCGGCAGCACGCCATCAGTAAGAGGAGACACCACCAGCCAGGAGTAAGCTGTGCAAACTATTCCCTTTACACTTGCTTGTCATTTTGTCAGGAAGGTCAGTTAGAAGATTTGAGAGCAGGTGGGTGAGGTTCTTGGTAGCTCCTGGGTGCTGCCTTAAGCCTTGACGAATATGGAATTGTCAACTCATAAGTCAACCCCAGGCAATGACCCTCCCTTCAGATAGCTGCAGCAACTCTTCCAAGCACAGCTGACAAGCTCTGAATGGCAGAACCAGCCCCTCTGACGTCTAGAACATCTGGGTCCCTTAAGAAGTGAAAAGAAATACTGGTCCCCCAATGTGATTTTATGAGGCTTGCAAAATGGTCAGAAAAGAGAGAACTAGTTCAAAAAGGACAGAGGGAACGAACATGATGAGGCCATCCCACAGAATTAGAGGTTATTCTTATAAATATTCCCCAAGATCAATTCCTTCTACATTTTTTCAAACAAAACTCATAGTGAGTAATGTGATATAACTCGCGAAGGCCAAACGAAGGCTAGCCACAGAGAACTCTTCTGACGGGTGCAGGCGCCACAGAGCAGAAGAGAGCGCGGGCCGCTCACGGGAAATCAGAAGCTCGGTGGTCCCAGCGCTCTCACACGGGTGCTGCTCGCTGACCCAGCAGACACTGTGCCTGGGCTCCCCGAGGAGAGAGCACTGGCAGGACAAGGCGCCCAAGCAGCAGAGCAACTGTCTTGTTCAGCTCAGCAGGTACCGAGGCAGGATCTGATCTGAGGAGCCCTGCGTGAGGCTTTTCAGCAAGAGAGCAGGCCGGAGGTCGAGGGTGGCGCTGCCTCTGAGACCAACTATTGCTCCCCGTGAAGTCTGACTTGGGACGTCTAGAGCCTGCCTCCATGACTCACCTGCCATAGAGGGTGGGGTCGGTGACGACGGGGATGTGAGAGGTGAGCTGGCCCCAGATCCTGCTAAGAGAAAACATAGAGAAACCCTCCTGGGGACCAAAGACGCACATTTGGAATCTGGCCTGAGCGGGGGACCTGCCGTTGTCTGAGAATCTGCACTTGGCTGAGTGGGTGGGCCTTGTGGTAAAGGGTGGGGAGGGACAGAGAATGCAGAGCCTGGACCCAGTGACCACAGCCTTCCCCCAGAGTGCAGGGTACGCTTTGTCCCCAGGCCACTAAGGGCTCCGTGCCGCCTGCCGCTCCCCACCCCCTGCCTGGTTTGAAACCAACCCTGAGCTGTCAACGGCTTGTGCAGTCGGCTACGGTATCTCTTCCTGACCCAGCCTCTGTTCCTGCATAATGAATGACAAATGACAGTGGCCACAAGCAGTACAGGGGACAGAGAGGGACAGAGCTGTCCAGTGCAGGCCTCTCCAAAGGAAGCGAGAGTTCCCCACAACGTCCAACTAGCAGTGCTCTCTGCAGAAGTTCCATTTTATCAGCAGCTACATTCAATTAGACAGGGTCAGCCTGTTCGGTTTGTGGCTCTCCCAGGCCTCTTAGAAGAAATCCAGTAAGTACTTTTATTTCCATTAAAACAACGTGCATATTCCCATAGTCTCAAGTTCTCAGCATCTCCCCTTTGCTCAGGAGTTCCCAGAGAACATCCTCCTGGCCTGACATGAAGGTGGCCCAATGAGCAGACAGAGGTTCCTACATAAGCCCTTCTGTGGCAACAGGAAGCCCCCTCCCTGCCACAGAGGTCCTATGGAGGAGGTGACGGAAGCTCCAGGGAGAGCCACAATCATGCCCCTGAGAAGCCTCCGACCATCACCTCACCTACCACCCGCAGGATAGCTTGGGCATGGCATGGACACTGGGCGTGAGGAGAAACGTCCCAATGAAACCACATCTCCCTCAAATGGAGGAGCTTTTCACTATTCGCAACATTCTCTCACCTCCTATAAAATAGGAGAGGCGTTTTACTGAAAAAGGAGGTAAAACCCAATGCATCCTGTCTTCCCAGTGCTTCGCAGTGCTAACGTAGGTTTTTAAAGGGGAGAAGATTACACTTGTGATTCCAGTGGGGTCTGGAGATGTTCTGTCCATTTCCCCCAATGGCTACGTGGCTTTCCTGAACTTCTTGAGGGCGTAGTGGGGTGTCTTGGGAGTCCGTGGAGTCTCATCTGGCTGCTTGGGGCCCAGAGCCTTGCAAGCAGGCAGGGCCTCGGGAGGGTGGAGAACACTGAGCCAGGCTTTCTCTGCTTTATAGAGAATTAGCCGCTGGACAGAGTACCTGTCAGACATGCTGGCTGGAGACATGAGTCTCAGCCTAACGATGACGATGACTGGCCCAGGTCCATTGCATCAACCATGGAGAAGAGAGACCTCCAACTCGAATCACCCGCTGGCCACAGCAGCCTCTGTCCCTGAGGAGCCGGCCTGGGCCCTCATTGGGGCCTCCAGGGCCTGGGGCCTCCCCGCCTCTCTTCCCTCTGTGGCTGAAGTCTGCAGGCAGCGGTGTCAGCACACTCCCCCCTCTTCCTGGAGTCCACGACCTTCCTCCACAGCCCCTCTTCCGCCTTCCAGCCCCACCCGCCCTGCCTGCGATCTCTGGCTGCGGCTGGTCCAGGCCGCACGTCCTGTGAGCCCTGGCAGGCATCTCCTCACTGACTGCACAGAGAAGACCTGAGAAGGCACGAGGTGTGAACACCCTCCGGGTCCTCCCTTCCTTCCACTTTTAAGTGCCTCTGCCTCTTCACCCAGCTCTCCTGGCTTCTAGCTCCAGGAAGAGATGGATGGGCTTCCTCCACGGTCACTCTCTCTTGTACATCTTCAGCTTCTCCCTCTCTGCTCAGCCCTTCTCCTGCCTGAAAGTACACGCAGCTATCCCTCAACCTAACAAAACCTCCCCTTTCCTTGGCCCTCCGGGCTAAGTCGAAGCTGCCCGCGGTCGGATGAAGCTGCCCCTTCTCTATGTGGAACTCTACCTCACAGATTCATAAGGTGGAAGAAAAAAAAAAAGATTCATAAGGTGTATAAGGTGGAAGAACTGGAAGTCCCCAGAGGATCATTCAATCTGGCCCTGATTTCTAAAGATGGAGATATTAAGGTCCAAAGCCAGCAGGGCCAGGCAAGGGGCAACCAGGAGTGACAGCGAGGACTGCCAACTCAGGATGGTGCTCTGTGCCACCCCAGCCCTCCTGGAATGATGCTCTCCGCCTCCCCCCCCTCCCCCGCCGCTGACACACCGTTGAGTGCTTTCCTTAACCCACGTATGAGGGCACTTCCTCCCGCCACATGGGGACTGGAATAGAGGGCAGGATTCAGGGTGGTTTCTGTTTGAATAGGTTTTACTAGCTAACAGGAGGCCTCGTGTTGTAAGTTGGGTTGGTTTTTCATCCATGCCTAATGCTCATCTTTGGCTGACCAAGTCCCACAATCAGTGCAGAGGCTGAGTCACCCCATAACCTCTGAGGATTCTTCTAGCACTTGAGTCCTGTGAGCCCGTGAATGTTGTCACAATTCTTTACTAGGGGCAGGGTTCTTTTGTTCCCTACACTGCTCAGTCTCAGTCTCTGGCCACCAGAAGCCAAAAACTCTTGACTCCTAGTCCTGACCTTTGGGCCCGGAGGCCCCACTACAATCTATAACCAGTTACCTGAATTATTGGAGTTGCTGTATTTTGCTGAATGCTCTTCATTATTTTCAACAGCAGATCGTTTTGACTTCTTTAAAAATAAAAGAGAGATGGGGAATAGCAAAGAATAAACACACTGACGCTGAGAGTTAGAATACAAGTATTTTCCAGGCACACAGTTAAACTAGCTACATACAAGGTCATATTTGGCCTCATAACTTAATACAGTTAAGAAGCCACAAGCCACAACCAGAAAGGGGAATAAAACTAAGAATGCTGAGTTTACTGTCTCAGGCCAGTCATTCTCGCCAATTACATTGGCCTGTAATCATCCCAGCAAGCCAGGAAACTACATGGTCCATTTCTCTGCTGATATTATGTGACTTTTTTAAAAGCTGCAAAACAGTCATCTGGAAATAGTTTTAGCTTTCAAGGAGATATAGCACAAAATCTTGTCATTAACTAAATGTGCACTATTAACCTACAACTTTCTTCACATGTAGTCAAGAATTCACAGAGAGAGGGCGCCTGGGTGACTCAGTTGTTAAGTGTCTGCCTTCAGCTCAGGTCATGATCTCAGGGTCCTGGGATGGAGCCTGGCGTCTGGCTCCCCGCTCAGTGGGGAGCCTGCTTCTTCCTCTCCCCCTACCCATGCTTTCTCTCTCTCTCTCTCATAAATAAATAAAATCTTAAAAAAAAAAAAAAAAAAGAATTCACAGGAGGCTTACCTTTCGAGCTAAAATCTTTCTCTTTTTCCTTTCTTCTTCAGATCCATGGTGAGACTGAGCTCTTGTCAGTCTTCGATGCTGGTGAATCTTTGAGAGACCACAATTTACCACAAATGTAAGTGTATCCTGTTAATGAAAATCTCTAACATGTTTTGCCAAATCAAATTATTCTGGATGAAAATTCTGTCCTTGCTCAGCCTGTCTGCCTCCAAGCTTGGGTCTGGATGTCTGGGAGAAGAGTCTGCCAGAAGATGAAGACCTTTCTCATTTCCCCCTGTTCCTTCCTGCCCTTCTCTCTTCTGTGGAAGACAAGTGTGGCTCCCAGCACCTTCAGAGCAAGGACCACATGTGCCCGCCACCACTACCCCACCTGCCCCAATCATAAAGGAAGACCACGCGTTATGGATGTGCTTGTTTCCCCCACAGGCTGAGCACCTTGAGGGCAGGACTGTGAAGTAACAGGCTATTTCACAATACTGAGCATGGAGGCCGGTTCAGAGCAAGGATGCAAGAAATGTTTATGGAACGAACAACCAGCCAAAAGTAAGTCACTGTGAATACCACGGCAAAGGATGCGAAAGCTAAAAGATCAAAAGGCAATAAGGAGGGGGCGCCTGGGTGGCTCAGATGGTTAAGCGTCTGCCTTTGGCTTAGGTCATGATCCCAGGGTCCTGGGATTGAGCCCCGCCTTGGGCTCCCTACTTGGCGGGGAGCCTGCTTCTCCCTCTCCCTCTCCCTCTACTGTTCCCCCTGCTTGTGCTCTCTCCCTCTGTCAAATAAATAAATAAAATCTTAAAAAAAAAAAAAAGGCAATAAGGAGCTACTAGCAATTTACCTGTTTCTGTTCTTCAATTAGTCTTTTTTCTATACATTCTTTGGCAATTCTCAATGCCTCTTTTAACTTTGTGGGGATCTGAAAGAAGAGAACGTACATGACCCATGGAGTAAAATGGCCAGAGATTCTCTTAAGTCCTGGTTTTAATAAAGGAGCGGTTGGTTATCATGAAGGAGGGAATCTGCAATAGAATCAGTTACAAGATATCCACTCAATTGACTACTATCCATCCCCAACATGCTCACCTCATTACCATTTTTTAGTAATGAATACATAAAACACATAAATAAACATGGTATGTTTCATGTAATTCAAGTAATACTGAAGGGGCCCCAAAATGCCAAAACAATCTTGAAAAAGAAGATCAAAATTGGAAGCATCACACTTCTTGATTTCAAAATATATTACAAAACTACAGTAATCAAAATAATGTTATATTGGCATACAGACAGACACACAGAACAACAGGATAGAATAGAGAGCCTAGAAATAAACCCTCATGCATATGGTGAAGTGATATTTGAATAGGGTGCCAAAAAGTATATATATAGTAGAGAAAGGACAGTGTCTTCAATAAATGGTGCTGGGAAAATTGAGTATCTCTACATGTGAAAAAATGAAGCTGGACCTTCACCTTATACTATATGCAAAAATTAACTCAAAATTGGACTGAAGACCCAAAACTAGAAAACTCCTAGAACAAAACAAAAGCTTTAAGATATTGTATCTGACAATGATTTTGGATAAGACACCAAAAGCACAGGCCAGAAAAGCAAAAAGAGATGGAACTTTTTAGAAACTTCTGTGTATCAAAGGAAACAATCAAGAGAGTAAAAAGGAACCTATGGAATGGGAGAAAATAATTGGAAATCATATATTTAATAAGGGATTAATAGCCAAAATATATAAAGAACTCTCATAACCCCACAAAAGAAAAATAAGTAACCTGATGGAAAAACGGATGTGTCACAAAAAATAGATTATACCAGAATAAAGCTGGAAAAAAAAAAAAAAAGATCAGAAAATCTAAGGGGAAAAAAAAAAAGGGCAAAGGACCTGAAGAGACATTTCTCCAAAGATTTACAAATGGGCAACAAGTGTATGAAAAGATTAATCAACATCTCTCATCATTAGAGGAATGTAAATCACAACCATGCTGAGATAGCACCTCACACCCACTAGGATGGTCACTACTGAAAAAGCAGAAAATAACAAGTGTTGGCGAAGATGTGGAGAAACTGGAGCCCTCGTGCACTGACGGTGGGAACGAGAAATGGTGCAGCTGTGGTGGAAGACAGCACGGAGTTCCTCAAAAGGCTAAAAACAGAAATACCACACGACCCAGCTATGCCACTTCTGGGTACGCACCCGGAAGAATTGAAAGCAGGGTCCTGAAGAGATATGTGCACACACTGCAGCATTATTCACAATAGCCAAGAGGCGAAAACAGCTCAAATGTCCATCCACAGAGGAAAGGATAAACAAAATGTGGTATATGCATACAGTAGAATAGTATTCAGCCTTCAAAAAAAAAAAGAAATCCTGGGGCGCCTGGGTGGCTCAGTCGTTAGGCATCTGCCTTCAGCTCGGGTCATGATCCCAGGGTCCTGGGATCGAGTCCTGCATCGGGCTCCTTGCTCGGTGGGGAACCTGCTTCTCCCTCTCTCTCTGCTCCTCTCCCCTCACTCGTGCTCTCTCTCTTTCTCAAATAAATAAATAAAATCTTAGGAAAAAAAAAAGGAAATCCTGTCACATGCTGTAACACCAATAAACACAGAAGACACTACGCTAAGTGAAATAAGCCAGTCACGAAAGAACAAATACTGTATGTTCCCGTTTGTATGAGATATCTGAACTAGTCAAAGTCATGGAAGCAGAAAGTAGAACTGTATTTGCCAAGGGCTGGGGATGGGTTAACGGGGAGTTGTTTGATGGGTCTCTAGTTTCAGTTACCAAGATAAAAATGTTCTGGGGGGGGGGGCACCTGGGTGACTCAGTCGTTAAACGTCTGCCTTCGGCTCAGGCCATGGTCCCAGGGTCCTGGGATCGAGCCCCGCATTGGGCTCCCTGTTCCGCGGGAAGCCTGCTTCTCCCTCTCCCACTCCCCCTGCTTGTGTTCCCTCTCTCGCTATTTGTTTGTCAAATAAATAAATAAAATCTTATTATTATTTTTTTTAAGATTTTATTTATTTGACAGAGAGAGCACAAGCAGAGGGAGAGAGAGGGAGAAGCAGGCTCCCTGTTCAGCAAGGAGCCCGATGTGGGATTCAATCCCAAGACCCTGGGATCACGACCTGGGCTGAAGGCAGCCTCTCAACCGACTCAGCCACCCAGGCGTCCCATAAATAAATAAAATCTTAAAAAAAAAGTTCTAGGGATCTGTTACACAACAAATGTGAACACAGTTAACACTCCTGAAGTGTACACTTAAAAATGGTTAAGAGGATAATTTATGTTTTTTATCATAATTAAAATAAAAATATACTGGAACACACACACAAATTCAAATAACTGTAATATTTTATAACTTCAGAAAAATTTTCTCTGTGAAAAATTAAAACTTCCTGAATTTCACAAGCTTAAGCTTTTTCCTGCCAGAAGACAGTTTTTTTTGAGAGAGAGGGTGTGGCAGGGCAGGGGGTGGGGGAGGGGGGGTGAAGCAGAGGGAGAGAGAGAATCTTCAGCAGGCTCCAGCACAGAGCCCAACGGAAGGAGGGCTCAATCCCACAACCCTGAGATCATGACCTGAGCTACCAACTGAGCCTGCCGGAAGGTCTGGTACCTGGTATGCTGTGCCTGTCATTTCTTAATTTATTAGTTTCTCAAGCCACAAGGAGCTCAGGCCTGGGAAACAGATGCCTGGATCATGTTGAACTTTCTGTCTCTATTATTCTTTAAAAAATTTAAATTTAAAAACCTTTGAGTAGGTAATATGGTTCAAAATTCAAAGATATGAAAGGGTACAGACACAGTAAAAAGTCTGCCAACTAGTTCTCTTCCATGGAGGCAACCAATGTCACCAGTTTCTTATCTATCTCTCCAGAAAGAAAGTACATACACAAGAAATTAACCTTGGTTTTTAAAATCACGTTGTCATTGTTGCACAGACTCTCTGGTTCAGAGAAAGAACAAGGTCTAATAAGGACTTTCAGGGTTGGGGAGAGCATATTTATTTACAAGACTGAATATATTTACTGGGGACTTCCAATGAAGAAGAGATGGATTTAAATGTTTTTCTTTCCTACTTCAGATCCAAACAAGCTATTTTTGTCAGAACTCCTCTGACTGGGGCGCCTGGGTGGCTTAGTCGTTAAGCGTCTGCCTTCGGCTCAGATCATGATCTCAGGGTCCTGGGATCGAGCCCCGTCGGGCTCCCTGCTCAGCGGGAAGCCTGCTTCTCCCTCTCCCACTCCCCCTGCTTGTGTTCCCTCTCTCACTGTGTCTCTCTCTGTCAAATCAATAAATAAAATCTTAAAAAAAAAAAAAAAAGAACTCCTCTGACTGGCAAAACAGGACAGAGGAAAATGTCTTCCTCTCCTGTACAATCTTCTGACCCCACCTTGTTTTTGTTTTTCCTAAAAGGAATTTCATCATAATAGTATTACATGTTCCTTTGGAATATGGAGAGGAGGAAGAATCACCCTTCATTCTACTGCCCAGACCAAAACTAACTGCGAGCCCTGAGGAGAGCCACCCCTGCCCCCAGGTGCTCATGTGGACCATCTCAGTTGATCAAGGACAATAAACAGGCGTTACTCACCAATTGTACATACTGAGTAAACAGCAACTCAAAGATCAGACCCATAGATGAGTGGATCTCAGATAGCGGTGGTTTTGCCCCCTTCTCTCTCTAGGGGACATTTGGCAATTTGGGGAGACATTTTTTATCGTCACAATGTGTGGGGCAGAAGGGAAGCACTGCTCACATCTAGAGGGGACAGGCCAGGGATGTCGCTTAACCTCCGACAATGCACAGGACAGTCCCCACAACAAACAACCATCTGATCCAAAATGTCAACTGTCATGTCTGATGGGGCGCCTGGGTAGTTCAGTCAGTTAAGTGTCTGCCTTTGGCTCAGGTCATGATCCTGGGGTCCTGGGATCGAGCCCTGCGTCGGGCTCCCTGCTCAGCGGGGAGTCTGCTTCTCCCTCTCCCTCTGCCTGCCACTCCCCCTGCTCATGCTCTCTCTCTCTCTTGCTCTGACAAGTAAATAAATAAAATCTTTATAAAAAAAAATGTTTTGTCTGAGAAAGCAGCCGTAGATAAATGGCTGGTATTAAAAAAGCAAAGTAAGGCATCATCCTGGGTTTTTTGGGTTCCAAAGCTCCTGTACTTCCCACAATACCACACAATGCTGCTACTTACCAGGATGCTTCCTTCCTGCCTTTCTGCTAGATACAGGTGAATACATTTTTACACATTGTATTTTATATCCTGCTTCTTCTTCCCCTTAGCCCAAATAATTGCTTTCCATGCTACTACAATGTCTTTATAAATTTTACTTCTATTAGATAAAAAATATTTTATCAAACAGATGTACCATAAATTATTAAGCTAGTCCCTAATTGTAGAACATTTAGATTGTTTTCAAATTTTTGCTATTATAAATACTGTACCTAAACTTCCAGTTATAAAATAAATAAGCCATGTTCATTGCAGCATACAGAATACAGTCAATATTTTAACGACTTTGTGTGATGATAGATGGTGACTAGACTTATTGTGGGGATCATTTCATAATGTATAAAAAATATCAAATTACTTTGATGTACGCAAACTAAGAGGATATTGTATGTTAACTATACGTCAATAAAAAAATTATTGTACCTTCTCGTTTGATTAAAAAAAGCACTAACTTGACACACAGATGGCCAACAAGTAATGAGAAGGAGCTCAACATCACTAACCATGGAAATGCAAATCAAAACCACAAGAGATACCGCCTAACATCTGCTACAATGGCTGGTATCAGAAGGACAACATAACAACTGTTGGCGAGGATGTGGAGAAAAAAACCTTTACACTATCGGTGGAATGTAAATTGGGAAAATAGTATGGAGGTTCCTCAAAAAATTAAAAATACCATATGATCCAGAATTCCACTTCTGGGTATGTATCTAAAGGAAATGAAAACACTAAATCAAAAAGATATGCACTCCCATGTTCACTGCAGCATTATTTACACCAAGACATGGAAACAACCTAAGTGTCTATCAATGGATGAATGGATAAAGAAAATGTGGGTATATATGATGGAATATTACTCAGCCACTTAAAAAAAAGGAAATCCTTCCATTTGCAACAACATGAATGGAGCTTAGGGGCATTATGCTAAGTGAAATAAGACAGAGAGAGAAAGACAAATACCATATGATCTCATTTCATGTGGGATCTAAAAACAAAACAAAACCTGAACTCATACAGAACAGATTGCTCACAGAGAACAGAACGGAACAGAATGGTGGTTTGCAAGGGTCGGGGTGAGGGGACAGATGAAACAGGTGAAGGGGGCAAAAGGTACAAACTTCCAGTTCCAAAATAATAAGTCATAGGCATATAATGTACAGCATGGTGACTATTATTAATATACTGTATTGTATACTTGAAAGTCGCTAAGAAAGTAAATCTTAGAAGTTCTCACCACAAGAAGAAAAGAATTAGAACCATATATAGTGATAGACGTTAACTAGACTTACTGTGGTGATTACCACATTATAGTTATAATGTTGTTTTACACCTGAAACTAATATAATGTTGTATGTCAGTTCTACTTCAGTCATTTTTTTAAAAGCACTAAGTTTCAAAATCAACTTATATATGTCACAAACCAAAAAAAGATATGATTTGCTTTACCTTAAACTGTGGCTTTTCAGAAGTGGTTAGTAAAACATCACTGAATAATCTGTTAAGAAAAGAAACAAACAAAATCTTTCTTAAGCCCAGGTGTCCTCTCAGAACAGGATCAAAACAAAATGAGACATTTTTAGCCCATGAGGTTCCCACATGCCCCAGCCCTGGCCCAGTCCACCATTTCATGCTTATCGACAAACTCCAAGTTTACAGGCCACCCGATGTGACTGCAGAAAAACCTCAGCACCTCCCCCCTGCCCCCCGGTATCAGAGGTGCTACCAGGGAGAGACTGGGTCAACCCTGTACTGAAGGTTATTTCCCCACACTGCAGGGCAACAGTCCTCTCATGCTATATAGTAAAGTAATACACACTTTAAAAAATTAGTTTTGCAAATTATTATTTTATTATAGTTATATTTATTATACTGCAAATAATTTATGCAGTAGGTATTTCTAAACAGAATAACCAATATCCCCCCTTTTTTGTTAAATCCCAGAAGAGGATAAAATTTATTCTAGGGGTGGCGCAGTCAGTTAAGTGTCTGACTCTTGGGTTTCAGCTCAGCTCATAATCTTAGGGTGGTGAGATTAAGCCTTATATTGGGCTCTGCGCTCAGTGCGGAGTCTGCTTAAGATTCTTTCTCTCGGGCGCCTGGGTGGCTCAGTTGGTTAAGCGACTGCCTTCGGCTCGGGTCATGATCCCAGGGTCCTGGGATCGAGTCCCACATCGGGCTCCCGGCTCAGCGGGAGGCCTGCTTCTCCCTCTCCCACTCCCCCGCTTGTGTTCCTGCTCTCACTGTCTCTGTCTCTGTCAAATAAATAAATAAAATCTTTAAAAAAAAAAAAAAAAAAAAAAAAAAAAAAAGATTCTTTCTCTCTCCTTCGCCCTCTGCCCCTCCCCCTGCTCTCACTCTCTCTCTAAAATAAATAAATAAATCTTTAAAAAATTTTTTCTAGAGCTCAGTAAAATAAAAATGTCTAAGTAGAAAGAAACTATTCTGATTGGAATCTAACAAGAAAATAATTTTTTTCTAAGAAGTGTTTCTTGTATTCCCTTAAAAAAAAAAAGGCAGCTTTTAGAGTATGTCAATTCTCTCTTCAAAAATTATGTGACTAAAAACAACAGCATGAGGAATTCTGAACTACTTTGGCTAAGACAGTTTGGAGAATTTAAATGGTTGCTTGGGCAGTGCCCATATGGCTATGTGGGAGTCTTGCCTTGAGGAGTCCCCCTTTTTAAAAAACAGGAAATACTTCACAAGTAGAAATGACACAGTTAACTTTTCCCCACAGTGTTCCCTGGGCGGCTCTGGAGGTGGAAACAGAACTCTCCCTGTCAAGGGCACAGGCCTATTTACTTCCAGAAAACGTGTTTTAACTGAACATAGTTCACGCCTCTTCAAGTATTCTTCTCAAGGCTGAAGGCCACAGGGTAGAAAGACCTCAGTGAGGAAAAAACAATGTGGATTCCCTTTAGACTTGGAAGGCTGGGAGGAGAATGGAAGAGCTCTGGAACGTGGGGGCTGCAAATGCAAACCCAAGTAAATTAACATGAATCCAGGCTGTTCCCTAACTACAAATGCATGCTGTTTTAAAAATTTGTATGAAAATTATTTCATTTCCCTAATTGGGTCTATTTTTCCATATTTACACTGTTGTTAATGGTGGCTGCTTGCGACAGGGACGCGCTAGTGTCAATTGTACTTTAAATATGTCACATCCATGGGCAGGGGCTGGGGCGGGGCCTGGGGTGGCTCGGCACAGCTTCCACAGGGCCTAGGACAGCGCCTGGGCTACAGCAGACCTTCTCTAAACACAGGGACCTCCGCTGAGCTCTGGCCGTATGCATTCAAGCTGAGCCCTGTCCTGTGTCCCCACATCACTGTTTCCTGAGTACATCTGTTATACAACAAGCTGGAACAGACAACGCACTGGGTGCGCCGCATGGCACGTGATGCTCACAAAATATAGGCTGAATCAATACTCATCACAAGTAACACTCGATAGGCACTTGTTAAGTACCTGGCGCTTCACCAGGAATCGTCTCATTCAATCCTGCCCACAACCCTCTCCGGTGGGGCTTATTCCCATCCCCGTTTCCCAGATAAGGAGCCTCCGCTTCCAGATGCAGGAAACCTGCCCAAGGTCACCCAGGTCGAAGTGGTGAGGCTGGGTCCACCCCCAGGCTGTCTAACCTCAGACCCACCCTTCTTAACCACGCTGCTGCCCTCTCCAAGAAGGGACAGAGAACATAGCTGGAGGCAAGGCCCTGCAGCACTATTTCCAGGGTCCTGATGAACTAGTCACAACCCGGTTTAAGGGAGACTGTCTTCTGCGCTCCAAGCCCCTTGCACAATGCCTGGTACCTGTTAGATGTGTGATCGATGTTACCCAGAGAGCAAAGGAACAAACGAGTGCACTGCGGGTCAGAAACACGCTGCTCTCCTCTGAGAGGGCAGAACCAGCCACGGCTGAGGGCCAGCTGGTGTGAGGAAACAGGACCACGGACAGCGCACGAGCAGGCCCTCCGTCAGAATGTCCTAAGCAGGGGCGGGGGGCACGTGTACATGCACAGGACACTAACTAACATCGACAGCAAGAGACACGTGTGAAGATGCGGACATGAAGGGAGAGCAATCAGACCACAGTAGTGGAGAGGTCATGATATCATGCTGCACATGACCGACAGCAAGCACGTCACTTCGACTCTGCAAGGACCACACCTGAGTCTCGACCACGGCGCCAGGCACCTGGCTTAGCGGTCCAGCGTTCTACACAGTTAGGAAGGTGACAACCAAGGCGTGTGATTGACTTACGGCATCTGTAAGAGCCGGGAGACGGTAGGCATGCCATTTTTACAGGCTTCACAAGACAGCGTAGACTCCAACACGGCCACTTGAAATGAACAGATACACATTTTAGTTCCACAGAACATGCTGGCAAATCCACTTGGTGACAAAAAGTCTGACACCACTTTGCAACAACTGTCTGCAGACTGATCAGGACGGTGTCAAAACTCTCCACGCACAGACAGATGGCATACGTCGGGAAGGGGAATGCTGGCAATACTATGTTACCGATGACTCAGAATAAATGGTGCAGAAACCACATGCTGACAGAAAGCTAAACATACTTCAAAGAGAACTGGAGGAAGGATTCCAGATATCATTCATTAAAGTGTTTGCTCCCTTAGAGGAGAAGGAAACACTACGCAGAAAACTCTGAACTCGAAAGACGTTTTGCTGCTTGCTTGCTTTTCAATCAGAACCAGCACACGAGATGCCAGTTGTTGCTATCTCATCATCCAACACCCCGGATGATATAAACCAAAGCAGCCGGATTTTTCTTCTCACAGGTCACTGTTCAGTTTCAGCTGTTCGAACTCGACACAAAGTGGTCTCAGGGCCTGTGCTCTTGAAGCACCTCATTGGACACAAAACCAGCACTTGGCGGAGGGTTAGCTTGCCCACCTCGAAGGCCCGGTGGTCCAAGAGCTACCCTGCCCTCCCCTCTTAGTGCTCTAGCGGTGAGTTCTAAGCTGGCTGGGGACGGGATGAAAGGGTCCCCGGATGAGTCTGCATCAGTCCCCACGTCTCTCTCCCAAGGGTGTCTCCCGCCTGTCCTCTGGCCCTCCTCGGTCCCCTAAGCAAGGCTGGAGGAATGCCTGGATCCAATTTGCCAGGCGTCTGTATTCCCGCCGACCTTTCCCTGCTCTCGGCCTGCCAACCTTTTATCTACCAGATGTCCGGCCCGTGGCTCTCTTGTTCCTTGCAGGTCCCACTCCAGCCTTGGTCTGGCCCTTGACACCTGTCCATGTTGAAAGGCTGGCTTCAATTTGCCTGCTCCTAGCTTCTGCTTCTATATCAGACTCGGTCTGGCCAGACTGCTCTACAACCTCCTGCTTCCAAAATTCGAACACAGTTACAATATGTCTCCTGAGGTTTCAGATAGCCTGACAAATGGACAAGCCATCTGAATTTTTAGTGAAGTGAATTTAAATAAATCACTCAGACCTGGTTTACTTTTAAATGGGATTTGGCTGGCTATGGAGCATGGCAACTTCCTCTGGGTCCTTCCTGGACTCTGGAAAGGGGGTGAGTAGCTCTGCAGACTACCAGGGCTCAGAAGACTCCTCCAAACCCCATACTGACCCACAGCCATAGACGGTGCTGGAGGGAAGGAATCTACAGGCACTGAGTCTGGCGGTCGTCCGTAAGTCATTTCATACAGTAAGTGGCCAAAGCAGTGGACGTCCATGCTTTCCAACGTCTGTGGAAGACAAGAGGGCAGCAGCATGGTTATCCTTCAGTTTGGCTTTGTGAATCCCAATGCTCCTTCCCTAGGCTTCCACTGAGAGAAACATGGCCCAGGGCCAACCCCACTCATAATTGGTAGGGAAAACACAACTCTAAGGCCTTGTGCAAAAGCTCCAAAGGCATTGCTCTGACCCAAGGTCTTGGGTCTACTCTCCACTGTTTTCCAGTCAGTGATTCTATGTCCCTCATCGTCCTGTCTACCATTTCAACGAGGCTCTTAAAGATAGAGTGATGCTCTGTGAGAGAACACAGCCAACAGGCATGGCCTACCCTGCCTGTACCTTTCACCGCCTGGTGCATATTTCTTACACGGGCAGGTCATGGGTCCTGCCATGGAGAACATTTATACCTAAAAATGAAATTGCTGTTTTTGTTACTTCTAGCAACTTACGTTGATTTTCCTGAATTGTGAGAAATAGGATCGGTAGAAGGAAGGAAGGCCCAATAAGGAATTCTCAAGGTCTAGCAGCCGGCAAGTGTCACCATCTAGCATCACATTGGAAGCATGAAGATGCCCATAAGGGAATCCCTTGTCATGTAGAAACTTTAGTACCTATTAAAAAATACACATAGGTTACATTTTCCCCCCAACTCATTCAGCTATGAGATAGGCTGAACTTTGTTTTTAAGTCAATGTATTTTGAAACAAAACCAAACAGGTCACTGAGGAGATTCCTAAAGACAAATGCCACCTCCATCCATTTCTTTGGAAAAGGGGGTGATGCTGAATGCTTTCCAGATGTGAGATGCAAGGCCAAGCTCCCTCATATCCAAAGAACAGAGGAGCAGCCTGAATCCGCTTGGGGTTAACAGCTTTGATGCCAGAAAGCTTGACTTCAAGCACTTTCTGATCTCAACAGGCCCGCAGCTTTCGGGCCAAAGTCTTGACCCTCCCACACAGATGAGTAAAGCTATCATGTCAGGGCATCGGCCAGTTGTCCAGGAAAAGGGGTTGAGCTAAAAACATCCCTAGGCCAACCTCTTCTCAGAATATATTACGCTATTAATAGGACACATGACAGGCTCCTACAGAAAGAAGCAAACTTTTCAGCTGCCATTTCATAAACAGTGGCTCACCCAGCAAGAGAGATGCCTGGAGGGCGCCTGGGTGGCTCAGTTAGTTGAGCGACTGCCTTCAGCTCCGGTCATGATCCTGGAGTCCCGGGATTGAGTCCCCCATCAGGCTCCCTGCTCAGCGGGGAGTCTGCTTCTCCCTCTCCCGCTCCCCCCTCTCGTGCGCTCTCTCTCTCTCATTCTCTCTCTCAAATAAATAAATAAAATCTTTAAAAAAAAAAAAAAAGAGAGATGCCTGAAGATACACCCATAATGACCTCATGAACTAGAGCAGTGCTAGCCAAAAGGGGTGCCCAGAACAATCTACTGAGGACTGGAAGAAAATATGACAACTTCTCTTTCTATTTGTTTGTTTTTAATCTCCTTCTTTCCGGGGTGCCTGGATGGCTCAGTCAGTTAACTGTCCAGCTCTTGATTTTAGCTCAGGTCTTGATCTCAGGGTCATGAGTTCAAGCCCCATGTTGGGCTCCGCACTGGGCGTGGAGCCTACTTGAAAAAAAAAAAACTCCTTCTTTCCTAACTTAACTTATAATATACAACATATATTAGTAGTAGTGCATGCATATAATAGTTATATATGTGTAATATTGAGGGGAGTTTTGTTTGTTTTCACTGATAGGGTCACACAATCCAAGAAGCCTGGAGAACACTGCTCTAGAGAGTGATACGGGAAAGGCTTTTCATGCTAGTTACACTTCTGCAAGGGAGCCATATGGTTATGTACTGATAAAAGAAAATCAACAATCTTGGCACAAAGATAAAGATCAACCAAATATAATACAAAAGTTGGTATCTGCACCGTGAAGTTCTTAAAAATCAGACCCTAAATGCCAATAGCTAAGATTTTGGAATTCTGTAGATCTGAATTGGCTGCCTTAGTCTCAAGTATTTGTTTTTTGGGATAAAATAGGACAATGCTATCAGTTTATAAGCAATCAGACAACTTAAACTATTTTGAATATTGCCTAAGAACTTTCCCAAAAGAATACTGTAATCTGGATGAAATTCCAATGCAACCTAAGCAAATATTAAATACCCCTTACCTCTAATATTTGCCGCCCATATGTTTTTATTTGCTGGAGTTCAAGGCCCTGAATCTTCTTAGGGTTGCAGTACTTCTTTAGGAATGGGTCTTTTGGTTTTGCCTTTAGAAAAGCACAAAGAGCATGTAAGAAAGCAGCAGAGGGTCTGAGTCCCACATGTAGCCTCCTGGACCAGGCAGGACTCTAAGCAGCTAGGGGTGCCAGATGAGGTCAGCTCATAGGATGTGGGTTTTTAAAGTACTAGAATCTGTACAGTTGATAGAAAGAGGCTGCCCTGAGTTCCATCCCTTCTCTGGTCCAGTGAAGCTGGGCCTGGTCTTGGCCTTAGCAGACTCCCAAGTTTTGTTTTCCAACTTTACTGAGATAGTTCAGTATTGCTTTGTTAAGTGAAAGACAAAAACTTTAAAACTGACCTAAATGAGCAGCCTACAATGTAATGGACATAATCATTACCTGTTCAACCTTATTTCATTTGGGGAAAGGAATGCTCTTTAACCAGACTGGGTAGTTTTACTGCTAAAATCAAAATAAATTCCAAATCAAATCAAACTTAAAATAAAACCCTCAGGGCCTAACTTCCAGAACCTTAGGGATCAAGTATCTGTAACAGGTTCTGAAGGGACTTGAGAATTTCTTTATGACCCTGAACTTGCACCACAAGTACCTTGTAGATCAGGTCCTTCAAAGTTCCTTTGTCATTAAACATCCTAATAAGCAATGCAGAGGATTCATTAGCTGTGGCAAAGGTGACCCGATAGATATAAGGGTGCTGCCAAAACAAAACAGACATTCACATTTATTCGCATCAGCATCTGGGTCCTTTGAGATCAAGAATCTGGTTACGTAGAGTTAAGTTCCATCTCAGCAGTTTAGTTGCACATAAATGTGGGGATGTTCCCTGAACATGTGGCATTTTCTTATCAGATGATCAACTAGCATGTCATTCTTTAGATGAGAGAAGGAACATAAACTATACTGACAAAGGGACATGGAGAAGTGGCACGGTGAGCTCTCCATATCTGCCTGGGGATGCACATGCTCCTAGCTCAGGCAGAAGTCTGGGGGATAATGGTTTTAATATTCTGCCTCTGTACACTGGTAGAGAGTACAGCCAAACCCTAGCACAGCCAAGTGAGGACCAGGATAAATGTGTCTTCATTCACAGCGTTGCCTAACATTTCACAGTGCTGTTTGGTGCCAAGCCAGCGAGCGTAAAAGCCAGAAAACAAGCGAAAAAGCAGCATCTTTTGGCATCTTGGCCCTTATCCAAAGCAGCTAGCATGAATCTTCCCGTCGTTCTTTTGCAGGGTGCAGTATGATGATTCACAGTGTCTTCCTGAGATGAGGCCATTGATGTCAAGCAAGTGGGGGTGGAGAGTAAGACAAAATTAATGACTGAAAGTCCTTGTATGACCTGGAATTTTGGTTACATGAACCAACTGGCTTCAGACAGGTATTACAATGTCCATTCGCTCAAACGAGCACCATTAGAATTTAAACCCATAGGAGCTGAGCTGTGCAAAGGTTTGGGAGGGCAGGGGTTGAGTAGGTTGGGGGATGGAAGGGTGTGCCCAGGAAAATATAGTCCTTGATCATGAAGTTTCTTCTGACCATCCCATCAAAATGATTGCTGTTGATATTGTTAACAGCTTTATTGAACTATAGTTCACGTACCATTATAATTCACCTATTTGTCGTGTACAATTCAATGGTTTTCAGTCTATTCAGAGCTGTACAAACTACCACACAATCTAATTTTAGAACACTTTCATCACCCCAAAAAGGAACCCAATGAATAAAATAAAAATCCTTGAGTCCATACGGATATAAATAGACAAAGAGGAGAGAATGGGAAGCTCTTCCTTACAGGACAATGCCAACTGATAAACGTAAGAGGAATGATGGAGTTGGAAAATCTCAATGAAGCTAAAACTAGTGGGGCTTTGATAAGAACAGGATATTTATACAGTCTCAAAATATCTCCCTTATTAATTCTTGTTATTTATTTGATGAAATAATTAAGGATGGGTACAAATATTTAGCCTGAATTGTTCACTGTGGCTTTTTTCTTTTTAAATAAGAACAAAAAACTGGAAGTGGTCCAAATGTCTTGTAGAAGATTAGTTGAATAAACTGAGGTAAAGATAATTCTACGCACCCAGTAATAATGATGTTATACTATATTTATTCAACATAAAAGATGTACATGGTATACCATTAACCAAAAAACCAGGTTTTAAAACAATACATGTATAATTTTTCAAAAATAACCATATAAAGTTCTAGAAAAGCAACAACTAAACGTTTTGGTTCATACTCCTGGTTGCTTGGGATTACAGGTGAGTTTTATGTTCTTATTTTTGCTCACCCATGTTTTCTGACTTTTCTATAATTAATATGCACCACTTATCTGCACCCCCTTCTTCTTTAAAAAGCACAGCCATTAAAGGAAATTTGGAATTGAATGCTGAGAGTCTGTGTCACACAACTAATCACACACAAAGACCACAGCATTTTTCTTGGCTATGCTGCACACCTCATTAAAAGCTTGGTTTTGCTAGCTTGACAAGACACTCTATCTTCAAAAATGAACCTGCCAACCCAACTGGATAGGTCAGCGTAACTGTGCTCATGAATGACTCATTCTAGGGTCCTACATCCTCATGCAGACCACAGATAAAGAACTCACTTTTCTGGCCAGATTAGTCTTTTCCTGAAGACATTCTGCACATATTCTGAAATATACTGATGTGGTTCTTTCCACTAAGGCCTTGGATCAGAACTGTACATTAGCAGGCATAATGCCAGGCACTCCCAAAGGCCAACTAGTTGGCCTGTAAGAATAGTGACTCGGACAGCAAAAGGGCTCTTCGTGCCTTCCCTCACCCAGCTTATCTAAATCCATATTAGTTCTGTTTTCTCAGGCTAGAAACAGATCTTTCAATTCCACTGAGAGAAACATCCTCACCGAGAACAAAGTAGGTGCTTTCCTACTCGGATATTTGCCTAAAACACACGTAAGCATTTAAATTATCAATTTCATGGGTTGTGCCAATGTCATGAATACCATTCAAATGGTCTCTGAACTATGGGAGTAGCCCTGAGCGATTTCAGTGTGAAATGAAATCCACTGTACCTCTCCATTCTGTTGAGCCTACAGAGCACTTCCAGCTCTTCTGTCCATGGTCACCTACAAGAAAACGCTCTGAATCTGTCATCAGTACCTAGAACAATAGAAGGGCTTGGGGCACCTGGCTGGCTCAGTCAGCACAGCATGCGACTCTTGATGTCGGGGTTGTGCTCATTTGAGCCTCATGTTGGGTGTAGAGATGACTTAAAAATAAAAGAGTAAAAAAAGAAAAAGAATAGAAGGGCTTGTACTCACCAAACAGGAAGGCAGAAGTTTGATTAGACACTGAAAATCTTTATCTGACAGATACTTGTCGGGACCAAGGTCAGCCTGAAAACATGGGGGAAAATATCAGGGTGTTGTCTTAAGTTATCAAAAGAAAAATTCCTTGTAAACCTTTCGCTTTTTTTCATTTGTCCAAATATATGACTGTAAACCAAAGATGAAAGCCACACAAAGTCTTGCTGCCTCAAGGCTTTTCTGGAGAGGTAGAATGCAAAACATATAAATACCAGGACTTAACGACACTCTTGGGTGATGGGTATTAAGGAGGGCACTTGTTATCATGAGCACTGGGTGTTGTGTATAAGTGATGAATCACTGAATGCTACTCCAGAAACCAAATTGCACTGTATGTTAACTACCTAAAATTAAAAAAACAGAACGATGAAAAAAACCCCCAAAATTATGCTTTTTATCAAATTCCATTAGCCAAATCACTAGAACTCCCGAAGTGAGAGATAACATAAAGCAATGCCTAAGTATTTCTTCTTTAAAATAAATTGCAAAATTGCCAATCCTAAAGAGGTTCCAGAACTATTTTAAGCTGTTCCTGTTTCTTTCCAGATGTTTACGAGTTGATCAAATACAATCACACGGATATAACCAAATGAATAAGCAAAGTGACTCAAAATGACTCTCCTTTGATGTGGGACTGAAGAGGCCTTTACAACATCACTCAGAAGCACAGTACAATTTCTTAATTATCTTTTTTCAATATCTGCTTTCATAAACCCATCTCAAGTCCATGAAAGGAGACTGAAGCAAAAAAACAGCTTACCCAGCTTAACACTAGCCGTTCCTTCGGCTGATTTTTAATTTTCATCAAGAAATATTTCTTCCTTATCCTCCAACCTGCCATAAAAGCAGAGATGTAGTCATAGCAAATAGTTTTTACACCAGTAGAGAGAAGTTTCATTAACTAAGTAATTCAAAAAATTAAGGTCGGCAATCTTATCCATAGCAATATAGGCACCAGTAAAACAACTACTTGGTAATATTGACACGGGAAAGACTGTACTTAAGCAAAACAAAACAAAACAGAACCCCAAACCAAAAAAAAACCCACAGAAAACACCAAAACAACTGCAAACAAAGAAATTCTTCACGGGAACAGGAAAATGGGCACTTCAGCTGAGGTGTCGTGAGAAAGAGAGATGAAGAATGACGGATGGCTCTGAGAGTACACATTACTACCCCCTGAATCTCCAGGTGGCACTTTACCCAAGATTCATTAAGCATACAAGTTACGGACTGCGTCTTCAAGCAGTAGGAAGGCAAAAAGAAAAAGAAATCACCTGCATTGAAGAGCTTTCTTGGGATACAGATAGGAAAGCGTGACAAAGAGTCCAGTTCTGTGATCTGTTTGAACAGACCAGGCATGTGCCAGTTTCTCACCTATGTCTTTCAATGGTTCTACCACCTCCCACTTTGGTTCTGACCGGAAGAACATGGAAACTTGCTGTAAGGCAATCTCTGCAAAGACATTTTAGAAACTCATCAGTCCAACCTATCAGGAAAGCACCACATGCTTAAGATGTTACTCTTGCAAATGAAATCTTAATAAGTTTATGACCTTCTTAAAAAACTTTACAAAAAAAAAAAAAAAAAAAAAGCCAGAGAGTAAATGCAATGTAGGATTCTAGACTGGATCCTGGAACAGAAAAAGGACAATAGTGGAAAAACAAGTGAAATCTGAATAAAATCTGTAGTTAATAGTAATGCACCAATGTTGATTTCTTAGTTTTGATAAATGTGTTACAGTTATGTAAGATGTTAACATTAGGGGAAATTTAGTGAGGGGTGGTATATGGAAACTCTTTGTACTATCACTGCTGTTTTTCTGTAAGTCTAAAATTATTCCAAAGTAAAAAGTTTATTAATAAGAGTAATTACTAATGATGTGAAAAATATATATATGTATCTTTTAAACTGAAAGATCTAAAATATGTAAACTAGGGAGCATAAGCCAAGAATTCAATATATGCATCAGGATACAACCCAAGCACAAAACTCAAAATGTGTTCTGAGGTCAGCTCAGAACAGTATTTATGTTGCTCCAAGTGATATTTATCCTGTCTTCATTCCTCATGGAATTACAGCTTTCACCAACAAAGAAGCGATTAGCCTTAATTATATATTGGAAATAAAAGCCAGTGTTTTAGAAAAACATCTATGTACAGCAACAACACAGTTCTACTGGGGGACGTTACCATACCCCTGTTTATTGGAAAAAATCCACCTCCCTTTTTGTGTTCATTTATCATAAGAATGTTTCCCCTTTTTAAGAAGACAATGAGAAGAGGAAGTTCTTTAAAGTTCACTGTATTAAGAAATTATCAGAATAACTGTGCCTTTACAGTTCCTGCAAAAACAAACATCTGTAATTTGCTATTTTCCCTCAACACAATGAGAAAAGGAAGCCACTCTAGATCCCTGAAAGCAAACAGCAATACTGCAAATTCACTGTGGAATTTCACCTCCGCTAGCATCCATGGCATTCCAGGCCAACTGGTGAGGAAAGAGAGATTCAGCAGAAATGCTCTCCATATGTCAGAATGACCTCGTCTGGAATTACCATGCCTGGTGCTTGGCAAACAATGTGATTTTGATATATTTTACAGTACATTGTGAGTTAAGACATTCAGGGAAGAAAACAATCTACAAACTATTGGTTTACTGACTCGATAGGTAAATTGTTGATGCTGTCCACACAGAAGAAAACATGAGATAACCAGATACAAACTGCCTCCATTGACATTTGTTCTAACTACCCAAAGTGACAAACCATTTGGAGGGATCAGGTGTGGCAGAAGCATATAAAATTTTCATAATCAACGCTGGGAACTCTGTTGAGTTAATGTTGATATAAATTTTTTTTTTTAATTAAAGATTTATTTATTTATTTGAGAGAGCGAGAATGAGAGAGAGTACATGAGAGGGGGGAGGGTCAGAGGGAGAAGCAGGCCCCTCGCCAAGCAGGGAGCCCGATGCGGGACTCGATCCCGGGACTCCAGGATCATGACCTGAGCCGAAGGCAGCTGCCCAACCAACTGAGCCACCCAGGCGCCCGATATAAAATGTTTTTAGCATTTTCCAAAACAACTTGAACAGAAACAATCTAAAAAAAAACTTGAAAATAAACAACTTAAAAAGGCATCATTTTCAGTTAAGATCATATCAACTTTGGGAAGGATCATGCAAAATAATTTTCTAAATACAGTACAATGTCATTCTAAAAGAGTGTAAAGGACAGTTGGTTCATAACTGTGACTCGTAATTCCCCACAAAATCATTATTCAACAGCATTTATCGTATGCTACTATGTACCATACATTGTTCTAGGAATGGGGGAAATAGCTGTCAACAAATGGAACATCCTAGATTTGTTACTGATAAATTGAGGACAAGGAAATAGCCTTTTTTTTTTTTTTTACCTTAGGGAATCAGGAAATTGTAGAAAGGACATTTTCTTTCCCTTGAACTATGATCTATTGTCAAGTAAATCACATGACTACCTATACTGTATCCAATATGAATCCCCTCCCTCCCCAGCTTCAGGTAACACACCTCAATCCTAAGCATCTGCTCCCTGCTTAGGAGCATTTACCAGTACCTCACTTCCTTACAAAATCAAGGCCAAGCTTTTAAAACTAGTGTTAACCCAGCTCTGGCTTTACCTTGACTTTCTGTCTTTACCCCTCCACACAAGTGGTGCGGTGCCTAGATTTACCTGCCTTGACCCCTGAAGACAGGCCCGACCCCACCCCTCTGCATTTTCCGTTCCTGTCCACCTATCCCGCAAGGCTCAGCTCAAAGCTGCCACTCCCCGAGCCAGGTCTCCCCCCACCTTCCATCCTCTCTACACTCCCAGAGCTCCGCGTGAACTTCTCCTATGGGACTCACCCAAGGTCTGTCCTGTGTTAGGGCTACTCTCTTCCACTAGACTGTGAACTCTGGCTGTGAAGGCTATGTCTTAATCTGGGTAAAAGCCCACAGCCACATGGAAATATTTTTTTCTCTCCTGGAGCACTGGCCCTGCCTCTTGGCCTGGCTAACTTCTACTTATCCTTAAATCTCCATGTAGGCATCAACTCTTCTGGAAGCCTTCCTCCACCTTCAAAACTGGATCACCTGCACCCCTACTCCCACCTTCAAGGTGCTGGGCCATGTCTACTCTGCCATAGTCTTCACCTGTCAATCCCCCTGCAGAAGTGTCTTGGGATGGGGGTAGGGGACTATGCTTTCCTTAATGCTGTATTTGCAGCACCTGACACAGAGTAAGCACTCAATAAATATTGACAAAGCAAGAACTAAGGGTTCAATACATGTTCAATGGATGCGGACACTCTCTCCCATCAGAACATGAAATCCAGGGCGCCTGGGTGGCTCAGTCATTAAGTGTCTGCCTTTGGCTCAGGTCATGGTCCCAGAGTCCCACATAGGGCTCCCTGCTTGGCAGGAAGACTGCTTCTCCCTCCCCCACTCCCCCTGCTTGTGTTCCCTCTCTCTGTCAAATAAATAAATAAAATCTTAAAAAAAAAAAAAAAGAACATGAAATCCATGAAAAGAAAGGCATCTGCCCTCTATTTCCTTAATACTGACAGACACATGGGGAAAAAACTGCATGCTCAGGAAATGCTGAGAAACAAGCCCAGACAGGAAATGCAGAGCGAGGCCTTCAGGCCCATCCTGTGCTTCCCACAGAGCTCTGACTTCTCAGCTCAGAATGTACCAGCTGCCCCCACTGTGTGCAGCCTTTGAGCTCCTAGGTCCCAGCCCCACGATCATTACAGAGAACAGACTCCTCCAGCCCGGAAACCGGGTTCCAGATCCCCGATCTGCTACGGCAGGTGGCGCCACCGAGGCCTGCACAGTGGACTTGGGCCTACCACCTCTCCAAAGCGCCCTGCCCTGGTTCTGAATATAATCCCCCGCCCCCATCCCTCCCTCCCTCCTTCTTCCTTGAGCCCACTACTACCTGACCTACTCGTAGGATTCCTGGGGTTTCAGGACTAGAAGAGGACCTGAGGCTCACAGAGGGGAAATGTTGCTGATGACAAAGCTGGGACCCAGGATCCATGCCTCGGTATTTCTGGTCCAAGTGACTTCTGCATGGACATTAAAAATCCCCTTATTCTGGGGCGCCTGGGTGGCTCAGTCGTTAAGCGTCTGCCTTTGGCTTGGGTCATGATCCCAGGGTCCTGGGATCGAGCCCCGCATCGGGCTCCCTGCTCCACCGGAAGCCTCCTTCTCCCTCTCTCGCTCCCCCTGCTTATGTTCCCTCTCTCACTGTGTGTGTCTCTGTCAAATAAATAAATAAAATCTTAAAAAAAAAAATCCCCTTATTCTAAGGGAGTTTGAGGTTGGAAGATAGCTACAGTGCACTGAGGCTTTTGAATGATAGCAGCACCTCGTTACTAAGATGAACAAGGTGAGGTGTGTGTGGAGTGGGGTATGTGTGCATGTGTGTCTTCCCATATAAGCCCCTCATGACTGGAGACACCTGCTCTCCCTGTAACAAAAGCTGGCCCTCAATTAGACTTGGTAATACAAATGGACTCCTCATAACTCCTCCACAGAGTACCAAGGACCTCTATTTCCTTGGTCATCTGGAGCACCCCAGGAAAAGAAAGAAAAGATCAGAAATCCCAGGCTGGAGAGCCAGGGAGAGAGAAGGCAGCCGCTGATGCCCTGCTCCTAGTTACCCACCCCCTGGGGACCGGGCTGGCATCACAGTCCCCCTCCGACTAGGCATCTTTAACCTCAGAGCAAGAGACAGGAAGAGTAGCCTTGGTGACTTCGGCCACATGAGCACGGAACTCAGATCCTGCTAAAGTGGAGCGAGGTGGTGACCACAGACCATTTGGAAGCAGATAAGAGGTGGAGACCTTATCCACATGAAGGGGGGAAGTGACCCTCCTTAAAGAAGAGCCACAGGTCGGCAGTATGCAGAGTGCCCTCGGGAACCAGAGGCCATGCTTTGAGTTTCGGGAAGCAGGACAAGTTTGTCCAGTTACCCGGTTTTCCGGGGATTGGCTCAGTCAAGCTGGTGCAGAGGAGACTGCCTGGGCTTCCCTTTCCTGAGGCTGCTAGTGAGTCAGCCTAGAGGCAAGACAAGTTCTGACGTTTCATTCAAAGGGGGCAATAAATCAGTATCTCTCTGAAAACAGCATCCATCCCCTATTGTTTCATTACAGGACTGTGTCGTCTAAATAGCAGTGGCTTCATGAGCATTTGGGTCCCGGTGGGAGTCTCGGCAGCCTTCTTAGATCTCTGCCCACATTTACTTTGGACTCCTGACTCTCTGCCATTGCGGGGGGGGGGGGGGGGGAGGAGGGAGAGGAGAAAGATCAAGAACAATAGCAGCGTGTGAGGGGGTACAGTAGAAGGAAATATAGGGATCAGATAATCTTTCAGGGGCAAAGCAGCATTTTAATTGGAAAACACGCAGATGTTGTACCCTTGTGCAGTCTAACAAACGTGCAGCCCTAGGTAAGGTCTTTCCTCTCAGGCGATGTCTCATCTATAAAATGAGAGGGCTGGTCTGGGCATGCCTGCTCCAAATCTCTTCTAGCTCTGAGCCCACACAACTCGCTGTACTCCCGGTACGAGCTCCCTGCAAGCAGGGAGCACACCTTCCTTGCCCCTGCACCCCCCACCAGGCCTGCACCCAGCAAACAGCATAGGCACAACTGACAGTGAAGGTCTACGGAACGAACAGCGTCATCCTGTGTGCACTGCACCTTGAGGCTTGCCCTCGGGAACACATTCGCACACACTCTCGGGAAATACGGAGACAAACCAATGAACTAGGTTAGGGCTGATTTGATACCAGTCACTATAGACGGCTCACCATCTGACAATGCGGGGAACAATGTAGGTGAAGCACGGTGACTGAAAGCCATGAGAGATGTTACTCTGGAAGAAGTTAAGCTGTCCTGGGAGCCCCTGTCCTGTGATGCCTTTTCTCCTAGATGAACCAAAAACCAACTGGGGGAAGAATGAAAGCCTTGTAATAACTTACACTCGATTTCATCACTTAGAGTAAATGTGTTTGAACTAAACTTTCCTTCACTTGGTTGCATTCTAGAAAGGCATTTTTCTTACCTCTGCAGGTACTTCCACTAGAGGATAGGAGGTACGTTCCATTGCAAGGCTTCTCAGACTGTAATGCACATGCAAATCACCTGGGGACTTTATTAAACTCAGATCCTGATCCATGGGTTTGGGATGGGGCCTGAATTCAGCATTTTTGACAAGCTCCCAGTGATGCCAATGCTGTGGGTCAGAGGACCACACTGTGATGTGAGGAGCAAGGTCCAAGGGCTGTGGTTTTCAAACTCTGGCTACGTACTGGAATCTCTTGGGGAGCTTTATAAACTAGGAGCCCCCCCGCCCCCGTAGAGATTTTCATTTAATTGGCATGAGTACCTGGGCATCAGGATTTTTTAAAGCTCCCTGGGTGAGTCTATTATGCAGAAAAATTTGGTACCTGACAAGAAGTCCTGTATTTCCCTCTCTCTGAAACAGGAATAAAGGTGCCTCCCTCTAATTACTTCAAAAGCAGTGTTTTGAGGACCTGAAATGTAATGTGTACACAATCTATTCTCTTAGCAAGGAAATCAGCTTATTAAAAATACCCAGAGTTCCACTAAGACTCTAAGCACAGCTCAGCTTTAACAAATCAGTCGAATTCTAGTCACTGGTTCAGTTCTACAATGGTTTCCATTGGTCTCCTCAAAGCCACCCAGGGAATACTGAATAGTTAATCACTCATTCTGCAGACAAGAAGCTTAGGTTACTGACGATAGCTTTGTGTGTAACTGGCACCCCTTCCACCTCAGTCCCCTGACTGATCCAGGGAAGGCGTCGAAGACAACTAGCTCCTCCTCAGGCTTTGCCTTGAGTGGGTCTCTGGGAGCAACTGGGAAGACACAGAAAGGACCCTTTTGAACCACTCTCAGTATAAAGTAACTCCCCGAAAAACCAGACATACTATATGTTGTAAATACAAGAAGAGATCCAAATAAAAATCAAATTGAGATTATGGTACAGATTATTGTGGATTATATACTTTCTTTTCTGTCAGGGAAGATAATAAAGACAAGACTCTAAGTACAAGACCCAATAACTTCTCTTTCATATTCTTCTGTGCAAACATCACATTTTAGAAGTAATTATTTTTTTCTTATACTTACAGTAAATTACAATTGGGTATAGTACTAATAAGCAAGTAATACCCTATAACAAATGTACACATGGCCCCGTCTGGAAATAACTCCTCCTACATGTTGTCTCCAGCAAAGAACAGTGTCTCTATGGTCATGCAACCGTAGCTCACAGATCCCTTTGCTTACCAGTGTAGTTTGCAGAATAGTTGTTTGGGTCTAAAAACTTCTTAACCAGCTCACAATTAGACAAGATATGATTTGTGGTGATAACGTTGAGATAGTTCTGAAGACCTTTCTGCCTCTCAGCTATGAATTCACGATCCATGTTACCAATCAATTTTTTGGGAGGAAGAGGTAGACTGAGGCCTGCAATCTTTAATTAAAAGAGAAAAAGTATTATACTCCTGTCATCTCCACATAAGATGTAATATCAGAATCCTGAGCCACCACATTTCATTAAGATGCACCCTGATTTCAGTGCTATGATAAAAACGTGAAAAATTGCAACTCAGAATTGGTAAAATGCTATATCAAGCATAGCAACTTTAAAACTTAATTTTTTTAAAAAAGTTTTTCTATCAAACTTATATATGAACATAATTTCGAGAGTCAAATAGTCTTTTTATTATTAGCAGTCCCGTGACACTCCCCCCCCCAACCACCTCTGCCAACAGGTGACCTAGCCATTATCCACTCCCCAGAGGCAGCCACATCAAATTCTCTCAGTTGGTCTTTTTGGCACAGGGTTCATTATGAATTGATTTTCATTTTTAGGCATTAATCTATTAATTTCCCGTTATGGATTAAGTTCTCTTTCACAATCCCGATCTCACCCCACATGCAACTTATTCCTAATCCCTCCAATATAGCTATAATTTTATCTAGTGCAATATTCCTGTTTACATTAGGTGATCTGCACCATTAAGCCAGAGAGCCATGCTTACAATTCCTTTTTTATCAACTGGTCTTTTTGGTTTGTTTGTTTTAGTTTTCTATTCAACTCCAAACTTTCCATCTAAGCATTTTCTCAACATATTCAGATACAAAGATGCATCAATTTCGTCCCTTGAGGAGTGCCTGCTCCAAGCAGCACTGGTGGTCCCTACACTTGCTGGGCTGGCATTTTGGGACATCACACTAGGGATGCTTTTTCCTTTCTCCTGCTGAACCCCATTTCTAGATCCATACCTTCCTTTTTTGTAGAAGAATCCCTGATTTTTGGTGGGGATACCCTCCGTCAGCTTCCTAAAAAGGGAGCTAGGGAGGGACGTCAAATTTTTGAAAAGTTTCATGTGTAAATGTCTTTAATCTATCCTCACACTTGAGTGATAGAGAATCTTGATGTGGAATTCTTTTTTTTTTTAAGATTTTATTCATTTATTTGACAGAGAGAGACACAGTGAAAGAGGGAACACAAGCAGGGGGAGTGGGAGAAGCAGGCTTCCTGCAGAGCAGGGAGCCCGATGTGGGGCTCCATCCCAGGACCCCAGGATCATGAACTGAGCCGAAGGCAGACGCTTAACGACTGAGCCACCCAGGCGCCCCTTGATGTGGAATTCTAAGTTGGAAATATTTGTTCTTCACAATTTTTAAGAACGACTTTATTGTCTTCTAGCTTCCGGCGCTGCTGTTTGCAGATTCTTGCTTCCGTTTTTGTTTTGTTTTGTTTCCCTCCCTGGAAGCTTCTAGGGTCTTCTCCTTGACCCCAGTTTGTGAAATCCATGTGCCTCTCTGCAGGTCTATCTTTACCCTCTGTGCTGAGTACGCAGCCATTTCTATCTGGAGATGAACATCCTTACATTCTTTGGTATTTTCTTGTATTAGGTCATTATTTCTTCCCCTCTGTGCCCTTTGCTCTCTTTCCTCTTATTCCAGTGTTGGGCCTTCTGGACTGGTCCTCTATTCTCATCTTTTCTCTCCTACTTTCCACCTTTGTTAAACAATATTTTTTCCTACTGAAAAAATTTTCTGGGATAGTTCCTTTATCATTCAGCTCTTCTAAAGAGTTCTCAATTCTACTATTATCTATTTTTTTATTTCTGAGTATGCTTTCTTTTCTTTAATAGCATCCTGAATGTAATGTAATTTATCTCTCTGAGATCATAAAAGATAATCTTTCTGAAGAGCCTGAAATGTTCCTCTTACTGCATATATTCTGCTTCCTGAAGGTTCTTTTTATTTTTTTTTCTGTTTGTTTTCATTGTTATCTTTTATGTTAAAAGTGTTCCTTGGGGAGGGGGGGGTGCCTGAGTGGCTCAGTTCGTTAAGCGTCTGCCTTTGGCTCAGGTCACGATCTCAGGGTCCTGGGATCCAGTCCCGAGTTGGGTTCCCTGCGCAGCGGGGAGTCTGCCTGTCTCTCTCCCTCTCCCTCTGCCTACTCATGCTTGCTCTCTCTCTCTCAAATAATAAATAAATAAATCTTAAAAACAACAAAAAAAAGCGTTCCTTAGGAATTTGGTGATCCTGGACTGTCTGCTCATACTAAAGAGCAGGACAACAAAAGCTGACTTAGAAGCACTTGGTGAGTGGCGGAGGCTTATCTGTTGTGGGTTTTATTTTAGCACAGGATTTGACTCAGCTATTTCATTGGGAAAACCTGTGATCTCAGTATCTTTAGCTCTTTTTTCTTAGGCTGGGCAGATTCCCCTTCCCCCAAATCTTCCAATCCCCTGCCTGGAGGGTCTAGGTCTGACTACCAATACTCTGGGAGCTGAAAGGAAGAAGGTTTGCAGAAGGGGGCAAAGGTCGGGGTGAGAGGCAGTGCTCACATGAATTACGTGATTCCTGTGTTCCCCAATCCAAAGACTATTCTTCCCTCTCCAGAGAATAAACTTCCAATTCTCTGCTAGAGGGAGAAGGGCAGGCATAACTTGCTAGATGGGGGAAGATCCGGGGATCTGACTGTTTCTTAAACATACTCTCAACTCCTGATTTCAGCTCGACCTTGCCCCACACTGGAGGCAGCACCTTGCGCTAAACCTTTTGGAGGTTCTGTGGTATCAAATGGGACCCAGTGGAGTTATCCACCCCCACCCCAGCTCAGAATTCTGCCTTCCTGTATCTCCTTAATTGGTTAACTCTCATCCAATGGATTTGCAGCTTCAAATATTTTGTTGTGATTTTATCTTTTCCTATTCTACTTACCCTTGAGGGTGTGTGTGTGTGTGTGTGTGTGTGTATAAGATCACCTTACTGTTGTTTTAGAGTGGTTTCAGGAGAAAGGAAAAGTAAATGCAGGTGCTCAACCTATCATTTTCCAGATCACTTAAAACTTTGTGAGTCTATTTTTTAAACTTAGAAAACAAAGCATCAGGGACACCTGGGTGGCTCAGTCATTAAGCGTCTGCCTTCGGCTCAGGTCATGATCCCAGGGTCCTGGGATCGAGTCCCGCATCGGGCTCCTTGCTCAGGGGGGAGCCTGCTTCTCCCTCTACCTGTTGTTCTCCCTGCTTGTATGCGCTCGCTCGCTCTCTGACAAATAAAATCTTTAAAAAAAAGCATCAGATTGGTATCTTAATTTAATGAGCAAAATCACTTTCAAAGAGCAGTTGTATTCCACACTTGTGCTTAGATTAGAACAGACCAAGTGACATGCATATTGATTGAGGGGAAGGTCTTAAGAGAAGGGCATCTTTAATTCAGGAAAGGATGTAATCTAAATCACCCATGTGGGAAAACCTAACTTAGCCTGTTCCACTCTGTATTTTTCAAACAACAGTGAAGACCTTAAACTCAACATTGGACAAGATGAAAAGGTTGGCTTACAATCCTAAATTGCCTATTTCTCCAACATAATTATGAAAATGTGTGGGGGCATACTTAGAATGAATTTTCTATCATGGCAGAATTCACAGCTAGATAAGACACATAAATTTCAGGTCATTTTCCTCATTTACACAATTAGGCTTTACCTAATAGCAGTTTCTTTATTAACTAAATAAAAAGCATACTTAAGAAGAAAGCACATCATTCAGCTAATACACATCCAAGTGAATCACTTTATTATTATTACTATTATTATTATTATTTCTGTTCCAGAGCATTAATATAGAGTAATCAAAAGTACTAAAAACACAACTGATATTTCTTTTTTTTAAAATATTTTATTTATGTATTTGACAGAGAGAGAGAGAGACAGCTAGAGAGGGAGCACAAGCAGGGGGAGTGGGAGAGGGAGAAGCAGACTCCCCGCTGAGCAGGGAGTCCGATGCGGGGCTCGATCCCAGGACTCTGGGATCATGACCTGAGCCAAAGGCAGATGCCTAACAACTGAGCCACCCAGGCGCCCCCACAACTGATATTTCTTTTAAAAAATTATTTTTTTGGAGTGCCTGGATGGCTCAGTCAGTTAACCGTCAACTGAATCAGGCTGAATCGGGCCCCCTGCTCAGCAGGGAGTCTGCCTGTCCCTCTTCCTCTGCCTCTTTCCCTTCCCCTCCCCTTGTGCTCAATCTCTCTCAAATAAATAAATAAAATCTTAAAAAAAAAAGTGTCCAACTCTTGGTATTGACTCAGGTCGTGATCTCAGGGTCCTGTGATCGAGCTCTACATCAGACTCTGTGCTCAGTGCAGCAGAGTCTGCTTGAGATTCTTTTTCCCTCTCTCTTTGTCCCTCCTCCCCATGCTGTCTCTCTCTTTAAAATAAATAAAATAAATATTAAAAATATATATATATATGTAAAATTACCATGTACCAATATCAGCCCATTTGCCTGCACTACCTGCCTGACAGCTGACCCAGATGAATCCTACATGACTCAGAATGGAGTCACATCTACATCATCAGATTCAAACCCCAACAGAGCTATTTTTCATTCATGGTGAGGATATGAAAATGAGTTTGATAAGGTATTTGTTTTGAACTCTGTGGCCTCCAAGCTTCTACCAATCTATTTGTGCAAGCTTCATTTCACTTTAGGAAAATGTATTGATCTGCCAGACATCCCATCAGCTCTTCCAAATCATCAGGTAAAACAAAGTGTTCTTTGCCAACAGCTGCAATTACAGATTCTTTGCTAGGCCAGTCCACTAGACAGACTGGAGGCTGTTTCCTGCTCTGCCTTAAGATCTCACAATAAATACTTCTACAAGTATTACTAGTATGTAATATGTGTGTTATTTTAAAATCTTGCCTTTTAAAAAAGATTAGCATTCAAGAGACACTTTCTCTTTTAGCTTTCTCCCAGAATTTCTAAAATGTTTGCCAATTATAGAATATAAAATTTAGGGGGCGCCTGGGTGGCTCAGTTGGTTAAGCGACTGCCTTCGGCTCAGGTCATGATCCTGGAGTCCCGGGATCGAGTCCCACATCAGGCTCCCTGCTCGGCAGGGAGTCTGCTTCTCCCTCTGCCCTCTTCCCTCTTGTGCTCTCTGTCTCTCATTCTCTCTCTCTCTCAAATAAATAAATAAAATCTTTAAAAAAATAAAATAAAATAAAAATAATAAATTTAAAAAAAAAGAATATATAGGGGCGCCTGGGTGGCTCAGTTGGTTGGGCGACTGCCTTCAGCTCGGGTCATGATCCTGGAGTCCCGGGATCGAGTCCCGCATCGGGCTCCCTGCTCGGCGGGGAGCCTGCTTCTCCCTCCGACCCTCCCCCATCTCATGCTCTCTCTCTATCTCATTCTCTCTCTCAAATAAATAAATAAAATCTTTAAAAAAAAAAAGAATATAAAATTTAGAAGTCCAATGACTCATTAGGAGGGAGGGAAAGAGAATATTAGCACAGAGAGCAATCAAGTCTCTCCACAGTGATTTCCTAGACACCTACACAATGATGGCTTCAAGCCATGGCACCTCCCCATCCCATTTTCGAGAGCTTTCCTCTTTAACATGCCCTACAGATTCCCTTCTTGAGTTCCTTATATATGAGGAAGAGAACGAGAAAGCCAGTGGAGAAGTCCCCAAAGACCCATCCATAACACCTGCAGAATGATAAGGCGAAGGGGGAATAATCTCCAAAGTGAGGTCTAGAGCCCATAATCTGAGCCGCTAGTAGAGGCCTCTAAATTAAATTACATGACAAACTATATCGCAGTTTCAAGAAAACTAGTTCTATCTGGAGGAGGAACCAACAAACTCTGAATCTGTTCATCTTTCATTTTCATGATCAGAGCTCAGTGGTCTTCAACCATATTCCAGTGAGTATTCTAGGGAGTTCTGAGCTCTCAAAAGACCCTTAATTTGTGCCAATCTCTACGTAACAGTAGAGTCTCTCCTATGTCAACAGTGAGCAATAAAATTCAAATCACGAAGCATCCGTGCTACAACAGACCTGAGAAGTCATCTAGTTCAACCCCTTGTTTCAGATGGGGAAAGGGGGGGATGGAGAGGGAAAAGAAATGACCCAAGGTCTCCCTGCTGTAAGGGGCAGAGTCTGGGCTCCTTCCCAACCTGAGCGTTCCTGACTCAGTCCCCACCATTTCAGCTCCTACGCCTTTCTTTTGTTTTGTTGTATGTGGTCTCCCTAGATGGTTACTGATTTGATGTTGCCTTTAAAATAAGGTAATGAGGGCGCCTGGGTGGCTCAGATGGTTAAGCGTCTGCCTTCGGCTCAGGTCATGATCCCAGGGTCCTGGGATCGAGTCCCACATCGGGCTCCCTGCTTCTTGGGAGCCTGCTTCTCCCTCTGCCTCTCTGTCTCTCTCTCTGTCTCTCATGAATAAATAAATAAAAATCTTAAAAATAAAATAAAATAAAATAAAATAAGGTAATGATTCGGGACACCTGGGTGGCTCAGTCGGTTGGGGAGCTGACTCTTAGTTTCTGCTCAGAGCATGATCTCAGGGTCGTGGGATCAAGCCCTGCCTGGGGGCTCCCCGCTCAGTAGGGAGTCTGCTTGTCCCCCTCTCTCTACCCCCCCACTCACATGCACCCTCTCTCTAAAATAAATAAATCTTTAAAATAAGGTAGTGACTCTTCTTTACCACAAAATATGCTCATTATAGAAAGTTATGAAAATGCACCTTTCTTTTTCGATTTCTTTGCTTATTTAGCTTATCTCTGCTTGTTTATAGAGAACTTGGAAAGTACAAAACAGTGTAAAGAGCCAGAAAAAAAAAAACATAAAACCCATGATCCTGCCACCTGGGGATCACCATTGTTAACAGCTTGGCATATTTCCCTCCAATCTTTTTTTCTAAACATTTCATGTAATTATATTATATTGCATGTATAATTTTACATCCTGCTTTTTTTTTTTTTTTTTCAGTTTGGCCTCTTTCCTATTGGAGTCAGACAACTCTGCCTATGTATTATGTTTCTCTTTCTTTAGCGGGAACTCATCTAACCATCAGAAAGGGTAATCAGACACTAAAAATCATGGTCACAGTTTTATTCTGTGGTTTTTAGAGTCTTTTTGGTCTTTTTTATGGAGGTTGTTTTGAAATTATTTTCTTGCCAAAAAGCTGTATGTACTTTCTTCTGTTTGTTTACTTGGATCTAGAAAAACCTCCCACTGAAATGATGTCTGGCCATATCCTGCCCAGCATAAGCCAACATCAATACACATGGATATTTGCATTTGAAATAAAATGCACACTGAAAGTGCCTATTTTAAAAGGGAAAATTACACTGAAGCAAAAATAAAATTCTATTATATTAAAAAGGCCATAATTGAATAGTCATAGAGATTCAAACTTACATGCCCTAAGCAAGAACAAACAGGAGATAAAACCCTCTCCACTGTCCCCCACTCATTCTTGGGAGCTGGGCCTAGACAATTTCAATTTCAGAAACCTTCCTCCCATGAGTCTTACTCAGTCCTGGCTGAATGACACCGTACGAAGACCACTGGGCAAAGGTTCACTTGTGCATCAACGTGAAAACACATAGTAGGCTCAGTGTTAACTCCCAGATGCTCACGCCATTGTGGAAATGCTGCCTGGGAACGTCGGGAGAGACTTGTGGAGAAAATCCACTGCTGGAATAAACTATACATCAGTGCCTTATCCACAATGTCATCACAGACCCAGCTTTTGTCTAAGCGGAAAGAATATGCTATAAAAATCCATACATGAAACCAATTAAGCTCATCAATGAGGAGAATTTGATCTCTGCCAATATTTTATCTGGAGATTTAAATCGGTCATACTGCAATTAAAATTTAAAAAGACAACATTTGTCAAATGCACGACCATCTGTCAGTTACATAAAGGTCTGCAGACACTCAGGCCAATTCTATCAGAGAGCAAGTTAGGCATTCATGTTTTCAGCTGGGTTGTAAATAATGTTACAGTTTGGACTCTCTACTATGCTGTTTTCCAAAGCCTGATCAGTAACTGTGGTCTTCTGAAGGAAAGGAAGCATGTTGCTCGCTCTCACCAGCAGTCCTCCTGACCTTTGTGGACAGGACCAGAGGTCACTCAGAATAGGTAATAAGTGATGGCTAGCTCACCAATGAACAGGGCGCAGTGCTTCACCTCCCGGCTGGACTGGTCATAAGCCAAGCACTCCGGCTCAGGGTTTATGTTACCATTCAAGTCTGAGATGTGAGCCAAGCCCAGTGGTCTGCAGTAACCAATCTGCTAAATGGGTACATGGGTAGTACTGCCAGTACTTACTATGGTGTGAAAGCCCCTCTAGGACCCTTCCATCATGACCAGCACAGCTCTTTCCAGAAAAAGACTCTGCAGCTCATCCCTCTTTCCATTATGGCCACCAAGTTAGGAACATTTAAGTCAAAGGGATTTAGAAATAGGTGTTTAAGAGAAAAAAGTTACACTGAGAAAAGCTGTCTCTAGTTACTGCTGAGTATTGATCTGCAACGCTGACTATGCAGTCTAGCTCAGTGGTGAGGGTCTGAGTCCCAGCTCTAAGTGAACGACTCCAGCAATCCAGCTAGTCATTCCTCATATGTGCAAAGGACTGTGGTTAGGATGCAGTCTCGCAAACAGGTACTCACTTGCCAGGTGACTATAAATCACATGTTTGTTCCCAAAAGTTTATTTTTAGAGCCACACATTATCTGTATAACGTATAAGTCTATCTCCTCCACCAGGAAAATTTGCTAATTTTTTGTTCCTGATATTGCCATTTCCAACCAGTTTCTAGGACACCCCAAGCAATGACCATGTGTCATTAGTGTTTTCGAATATTTACCTGCAAGCTGTTGTTCAGCAAATCAAAGTCACTGTATCTCCTAACGATCTGTAAGACAAGACAGTGGTGTTTTCATTCGGCAAAGACCATCTCTTTTCATTTCCTTATTTAATATTTATTGGCATTCTAGGGCCGAGGCACTTGAACTAAGGAAGTAGGGCTTATATCTGGTGCTTAACTTGCTTAACTGGACAGGCCCAGAAAACAGACCTAGCAGTGCCCAGAGTTGGCTGGGCCATGGGAAACTGGTTAACGCCAGTCAAACACACAAGATGCCAATAGGTAAGAGAGAATGATGATGTATTTGCTTTTAGGGTGAATAGCCCTTTAAATATCTTTCTCATTAACCAGGCACCTGGAAAGATGAATTGATGATTTACTCCCTCAAAAAAAAAAAAAGTTTTACCGAACATGAAATCAAAGTAAAAGGAAGCAGACAAAGCGCTTTGAGGCCCTTTCATCCTTGCCCTGGATAAAATTTCCCCCAGTTGAGAGCCCACCATTCTAGAGACAGGACTGTACCTGCAGGCAGAGAGGCCACACCTCTCCCGGATACCCCATATTTCCCCTCTTGGCAGACAGTCCACTTCCCATTGTCTATACATCCTTTGTTAGGTATGTTGATGCCACTGATTAGGCCAGAGTCAAATTCCACTAGCTCTTCAGGCTCTGGGCAAGGAAATTATTTTGATTTAGAATGGCTGACTTGAACCTTTATTGATGACTCTCAAATGTTAGTGAGCAGAACTACCTACCAATCTTCTAGGACTCGCCCTCAGAGGATCTCCTACAATAGGCGCACAGTGGGGCCCAAGAGTCTACTTTTTTGTGAAGTATCCCGGGAATTCTAATGCACTGTATCTGGAAAACTATACCAAGGATTGATTTCTCTGGTAGGACAATGCAATTGCCCTGCTTGTCAACTACACATGCAAGAGTTAAACGGAAGGCCATCCCTCGTAAGTGCAAAGGAGCAAAAGGCAGCACTGCGGCTAATCACAGAGAATACACAGATTCCAGCCCTGTTCTGTCACTGATTTGAGTGTGACCATGGCCTCGTTACGAACCCCTTGAACGTAAAACGGGGAGCTGCAATCATGCAGAACTGTTTTTAAAGGGTTAAGTGAATTAATGTGCTTGAACCAGTGCCTGACAACAAATGCTCAACAGATGTTAAATGGTGTAACCATTCACACAAAAAGCAGTTTGAAATTTGGGGCAAAGAAAAGACCAAGTGTGGACCACTGTGGTCCAAGACTGCTTAGGGTGAGAGGTAAGATTCAGGCCTGAAGGACAAGGTAAGATGTTTTGTAGTGGAGACGGGGAGGGTAATTATAATTATGAAAGCAAGAAAGAAATGGCCCTGGGCGTGTGGGTGGCTCAGTCATTAAGTGTCTGCCTTTGGCTCAGGTCATGATCCCAGGGTCCCACATCGGGCTCCCTGCTCAGCGGGAAGCCTGCTTTCTCCCTCTCCCACTCCCCCTGCTTGTGTTCCCTCTCTCGCTGTGTCTCTCTGTCAAATAAATAAATAAAATCTTGAAAGAAAGAAAAGAAAGAGAGAGAGAGAGAAAGAAAGAAGAAAGAAAGAAAGAAAGAAAGAAAGAAAGAAAGAAAGAAAGAAAAAAAGAAAGAAAGAAAGAAAAGAAAGAAAGAAAGAAAAGAAAAGAAAAGAAAAGAAAAGAAAGAAAGAAAGAAAGAAAGAAAGAAATGGCCCCTAGAGAGAAGTCAGCCACCCTCTGCAAAGTCAACTAACAGAGGAAGCACCTCTGGATCCAAGTAGGAAATTTTTTCTCTCCGAGGACTGCAGACCCTAGGGCCATAAGGTTACCCTCACCTACAGTCAGCGGGGGACCTGGCAGTAGCGTTTTGCCCGTGAGTGGACTGGGAGTCCATGAAATACACAGGGTCCGAGCTGTACAATGTCCAGGGTCCTGTCTAGCCTTTCCACCCCGTGGACTTAACTCTAACCGGCCCCACCTACACCATGGCTTCAGGGGAGGAGGTGTGCTAAGAACAAAACAAGTAATCTGCCTACTATCTATCTATCCTACTCTGGGTCAAACTAGAGAACAAATTCCTAGATACTCTCTGTGGTAACATCATACACAAATTAAACCAAACAAATGGGAACAGAAAAGCCTTTGGAAATAAATATCTTTTTTTTAATTTTTTTTTTTTTAAAGATTTTATTTATTTATTTGAGACAGAGAGAATGAGAAAGAGAGCACATGAGAGGGGGGAGGGTCTGAGGGAGAAGCAGACTCCCGGCTGAGCAGGGAGCCCGATGCGGGACTCGATCCCGGGACTCCAGGATCATGACCTGAGCCGAAGGCAGTCGCTTAACCAACTGAGCCACCCAGGCGCCCCTCTTAATTTTTTTTTAAAGATTTTATTTATTTATTTGACAGAGAGAGACACAGCGAGAGAGGGAACACAAGCAGGGGGAGTGGAGAGGGAGAAGCAGGCTTCCTGCCAAGCAGGGAGCCCGATGTGGGGCTTGATCCCAAGACCCTGGGATCTTGACCTGAGCCGAAGGTAGACGCCTAATGACTGAGCCACCCAGGCGCCCCTGGAAATAAATATCCTAAAGCTGAAGGTTTATCTCTAAAAGAAACAGGATTCATATATATGCATGTTTTGGTTTTTCCACATTTTTGGCTGCCCCAGTCAGACTTTTAAACACTTAAACATTTTTCTAGGGACAAAAAAAAAAAAATGCTTACCTGCCAACTGTTTTCTATAGAAATTCCTCTTTGCACCCGAATGATGTACTCCTAAAAAAGAGGGGGAGAGCCTCAGTTATAAGACACCCAAATCAGAGAATCAAAACTAAGTGAAAATATCAGATAAAGTAGACTTCAGAGCAAAGAAAAGTACTAGAGACAGAGGCTATTACATTGAGATAAAACAGTAATCTACCAGCAAGACAAAGCAATCTTAAATGTGTATATACCAAATACCAGAACTGTAAAATATGAGAGGCAAAAACTGATGGAACTGAAAGAAGAAATGGGCAAACCCATGGTTACAGTTGGAGACTTCCAAACCCTTCTCTCAGCAATTGATAGAACAATAAGAAAAACAGGAAGGACACAGAAGAACTCAATAATACATCAACCGACAAATTTAATGAGCATTTTTGGACACTCCATCTAACAACAGCAGAATACACATTCTTTTCAAGAGGATATATAGATGGCAATAAGCACATAAAAAGATGTTCAACATTCCTAGTCATCAAGCAAATGCATAAGAAGACCACAATGAGATAGTACTATACACCTACCACAATGACTAAAACAAATAAACAAAAAATAATACCAAATGCTGGCTAGGATACAGAGAAACTAGATCACACATATATTGCCAGAGGGAATGTAAAATGGTACAGTCACTCTGGAATACAGCTTAACAGTTTCTTAAAAGATTAAACATGCAGCTATCATATGACCCAGCAATTGTACTCCTGGGCATTACCCCAGAGAAATGAGCATTTATGTTCACACAAAACTTGTACACGAACTCAGAGCAGCTTTATTAGTAACAGTCCAAAATTAGAAACAAGCCAGATGTCCATAAACAGGTGAATGGTTAAACTTTGCTACATCCATATCATGGAACAACACTCAGAAACAAAAAGGAATAAACTACTGGTTCACACAACAACTTGGATGAATCTCCACAGTTATGCTGAGTGAAAAAGCCAATCCCAAAAGATTATAAACTATATGACTCCATTTATATGACATTCATGAAATGACAAAATGATAGCTATGGAGAACAAATTAGTGGTTGTAAGAGTTAAGGCTGGATTAGGAGGGTGTGGGGGGGAGGGAAGCAGGTGTGGCTATAGAAAGGCAAAGTGAGGTGCTATGCTTTGAATGTTTGTGTCCCCCCAAAATTCATGTTGAATACTAACGGCCAAAGATGATGGTATTGGGAAGTAGGACCTGTGGGAAGTTCTTAGGTCATGGGAATGAAACTCTCATGAATGGGATTACTGCCAAATAAAGGAGGCCCCAGAAGGATCCCTTGCCCCTTCCACCACGAGGATACTCTGAGAAGGTACCAGCTATGAACCAGGAAGAGGACCCTCCCCAGAAGGCAACCATGCTGGCACCCTGATCTCGGACTCTCATCATCTGGAACTGTGAAAAATAAATTTCTGTAGTGCATCAGCCATCCACCCCAGCCTGAGGGATGCTTGCATTGATGGGAATGTTCTGTATCTTGACTGTATCAATGTCAATGTACTGGTTGTGCTACTGAACTACAGTTTTACAAGATAGTACCATTGAAACAAACTGGGTGATGGACATATAGGATCTCTCTGCATTATTTCTTACAACTGCATGTAAATCTATAATTACCTAAAATAAAAATTTTGAACTTAGGCATTCAAAACAAGGTGTGGTAGCAATCAGAAGACTAAGATCCACGATTTTCAGTGTTCAGAGTTTGCATTCTATATGCATCATCAGCTAGAGAAGGCCAAGATTAAGAAAACAAGTGAAAGGGTAGAATAGAGAGGCAGTGATGGCATTTTCCAGAGAAACCAAATCCAGAGACAGCCCCCCCCCCACCTGCCTGATCATTAACATCTCTCTGTTCCTAAGGAGGAGGGAGAGGAGAGGGTATTAAAAATACACATTCTCAGGCTTTGTACCAGACATGCTGAATCAGAATCTCTAGGATAGAACCCTAGGAATTAGATGTGTTAACAGCCTCCCCAGGTAATTCTTACTAACAGGTAAGCAGGAAACACAGACCCAGTCCAGCCTTCTGGACTATATACACAGGGAGTCATGATGAAGGTATAGATTAAATCATATAAGAATGTTGACATTCTTGGGGCGCCTGGGTGGCTCAGTTGGTTAAGCGACTGCCTTCGGCTCAGGTCATGATCCTGGAGTCCCCGGATAGAGTCCCGCATCGGGCTCCCTGCTCAGCGGGGAGTCTGCTTCTCCCTCTGATCCTCCCCCCTCTCATGCTCTCTCTCTCTGTCTCATTCTCTCTCTCAGATAAATAAAATCTTAAAAAAAAAAAAAAAAAGAATGTTGACATTCTTTCCTCAAATGCTCAGAATGGTTTTAATATCTTTGGGTGGTATGATTTAGGCATTACCGACAGTCACTACTCAACAAATGCTTATCAACACAGTATTCAACAAATCCTTTCTACTGAATTCTCATTTAAATAGGGGATTTAGAAAACAAAGCCAAATAAGTATTGTTAACCTGGAGACTAGATTTTAAAATAGATCTAGTGCACTATCATTCATTTTCATTCTGTTTATTTAAGAAAGGTTGATAAAGTTCTCATAGCAGGAGTTCCTGCCTCCTTAGGAAAATGTTAAGGATGGTAATTCAACAATATCCACTCAATTATGAGTGAATCAACTGTGTACCTGGCGCTATGCTTAGTTGGGTTCATATGGGGTTATAAAATAAATATTTTAAGACTGATTTGTGTAGTGTGGTAAATCTCTTTTTTTTTTTTTTAAAGATTTTATTTATTTATTTGAGAGAGAGAGAGCACATGAGAGGGGGGGAGGGTCAGAGGGAGAAGCAGACTCCCTGCTGAGCAGGGAGCCCGATGCGGGACTCGATCCCGGGACTCCAGGATCATGACCTGAGCCGAAGGCAGTCGCTTAACCAACTGAGCCACCCAGGCGCCCTAGTGTGGTAAATCTCTTAAGCAATATGCTAATGCAATTATTTCTGAATACATACAGATAAAATGCTAAAAACTTCTGACATTCTTAAATTTGCGGGAGCAATCCTTTAGGTTGGAAATTTTTTTTCCAGGGTTGTCTTACTGGCAAATTTTCTGGGCTGTTACATTCTCAGAGGCAAGCTGAAATTAGCACATATAATTGAGTACTTCAAACAACTACACATCAACAAGCTTTTTTGATGCCTAAAATTGGGGGAAAATGTTAATTCTCAAAAATCACTTCTAGCGTCTATTAGTTCACTATGATTTATGAGAGGAATAACATTAATTTCAAAAATTCCGGTTCAGTGTTGGGCACTTGGTAGGTACTGAATAAACACGGCTGTCTCGCTTTACATACGTTGAGTTTAAAGTTCAGAACTGTGCTTTCCGAAGACGTTGCTACCAGTAGTAAACATCCGCTAAAGCACCCATAACGTTCCAATCCCTGTACTTCTTCCACGCTGCGGTGTAAGTTTGAACAAGAAAGGTACAGTCTGACTCCATTCCTTCCTTCTGTAGACACACAATTTAGATTTTTTTAAAAAACTTGTCTATAAACATGTGACTCTTGATCTCAGGGTCGTGAGTTTAGACCCACACTGAGGGTAGAGTTTACTTAATAAAATTCAGAACTTCCTGAACATATATTTGTGCCAGAATAGGTTATGTCTACACTATTCAGTCAATTGGCAAACATCTTCTCATTGTATTCCTTCATATATGCTCTTCACCCTTTATTCCTCTCCCCTCCCCCCAACTGACAGTAATCATTATGTGTTCTAGTCTTCCATATGCCTCTAGAGTTGTCCCTACTCCAGGATCCCAGCACTATCAGGCTAATAGTCTTGCTAAGGTATTCCTGAAGTCCCTTCACTGATACCCTATAAAGTTGGCTATTATTGATTATGATTATTATATTGTCTTGAAAAAAAATCTTGTCTATAAAATGGCACACAATAATGACTGGGAAAAGCATTTGGCAGAGGGAAGCAGTAACTACAAGATAATACCTGGGTCATGATGTCAGACTGTGATAGCCAAAATGACGTCCTCATTAAAGTTTGTGCCAAGACACTCTTTAAATTTAGGCCAGTGAGGGGCGCCTGGGTGGCTCAGATGGTTAAGCGTCTGCCTTCGGCTCAGGTCATGATCCCGGGGTCCTGGGATCGAGTCCCGCATCGGGCTCCCCACTCTGCAGGGAGCCTGCTTCTCCCTCTGCCTCTCTCTCTCTCTCTCTCATGAATAAATAAATAAAATCTTTAAAAAAAAAAAATTTAGGCCAGTGATTTCCAAAGAGGGTGATTCTGACCCAAATGACATTTAGCAATGTCTGGAGACATCTTTGGTTGTCACAAGGGGTAGGGGAGTGCTACTGGCATCCAGTAGATAGAGGTCAGGGATGATGCTAAACACCTACAGTGCACAGCACAGCCCACCCCCACCCCCCAACAAAGAACTACCTGGCACCGAATGTCATTAGTGCCAAGGTTGAGAAACCCAGGTTCAGGTGCATCGAGAAACCAGTCATCCCAGTCCATGGAGGCTTGGGTTACAGGGTGGTGCTGGGGGTTACCTCTGTCATCATCTGCCCTTGGCCGTAGCCCACTGGTACCTCGTATACAACACCATTTGTAACACACTTGTGTCCACCTAGACTTTGCTTAGTTACAGGGGCCTGAAAGCACCACCCATTGTGTAAAAACACATTAGGACCCATTAAGGCTTCCCTGTGGTCCCCAAGTCCCATCTGCCATCAGGTAACAGATACAGAAAGACACTGGGGAATATAAGGTGATTTCACTTGAAAATATTTTAAGTAAACTCTACCCCCAACCTGGGGCTCAGACTCACAACCCCAAGATCAAGAGTTGCTCTACCGACTGAGCCAGCCAGGCACCCCGGCTCAGAAATATTTTTATTCCAGTTCAATAAGGCAAGTTGGTCCCTAACTATAAAACATTTGAATTTTTTTTAGTTTGCTTGATACCACCTTCCACTTGACCAAAAGGAAATACTTTCACCTCAAATTTGTACAGTAAACACAGCACAGCTGTCC